CAAATCCAGTTAAGGAGCACCGAAAACCACAAATCCCGAAAAAGTGTGCCAATTACGGCTAAGGCTATTTTAACCTTGGAGTGGAAAAACTGTGTTTCGAATGCTTCAACATTTCATAAACAGGTCATTTACAGACAATGCACGTTTCAATGATATTTCATGTCAACACAAAAATGCTGACTACTGAGCTGTTGATACCCTCGTGAACGAAACGTCTGTAAAAATTCATCAAAGACACATACCAGGCTTTTAATTATAAATAAAAGGGGAGCAAAGATGGTTTCTATCAGACTAGTCTTTACAAAGTAAATTTAGTACTCTCTTATAAAAATTATACAGTTTTAATACTAATTATGTGCAGAGGAATACTACAATACGAATAGATCTGTAGTTTAATTAGAAGTTATAAGATTTCCTTAATTTTCTCTTTAAAAATATCACCGACAATGTTACTGTGTTATCTTGCAAAGCATGAACGGACATACCCATTTATAATTAGGTTTGAACACATCCTTCATTGAATTTTATGAAGTAATGATTTTTATAACCTCAATTAATTCAATATTTCCTTGGCGTTTGTTTTTTGAATAATTTTATTCAAATTTCTTCAAAACAAACGTAAAAGTCGTTTGCTTCCTTTTTTTATCACATAATAAACTTCCTTGTAAATGTTTTTTTTTCTCATGAAATGTTTGATTTTTCTATCCATTAATCAACATTGTGGTGAATGTGAATCCAGCAATGCGCATTAAATCGAGCAAAAACGCTAATTTTCAATATGATTTATGAGAGAAATTTTCTTATCATAATACAAGCACAATATAACAAAAATCAATGTCTGTTGTAATTGAGTAATAAGCGTTAAGCTAAGTTTGAAAAACGTTTATGATATGCCCAGTATTTGTTTGTTACAGCTGTGGACATGTAATTATACAAAGGTTTTTTCTCTAAAGAAACATAGACATACCAACGTTTTGTTGCTTTTTTTACTTACTGGTAAAATAGTTTTTTTTTTAATTATCTGACAATATTTTTATGATAATTTTTTTTCGTTGTCCTCTTTGATTTATTCATGAATTATATGTATAAAATTTCTTTCATATCTCACCTGAAAAATAATATCCTTAATTTATTTAAAACTCAGTAATGTTTTCAAATCATTAAAAAAAACGAAAGATATGCAGTACTGTTGATTCCGAAGTAGTATCTCTAGTGACAATACAACGGAAGATATACATTACAGTTGATTCCGAAGTAGTATCGCTAGTGACATTACAAAGGGAGATAATTAGTTTTAACTTTTGTCTTGAATGTTAAATGCACGAACACTGAGTGCACGTTGGAAAATAACCAAACTTTGTATTCATCTTTACTTCAATTTTCCATAGTGTATACTTTCCATTTTTTTGTACCAGCATTGGAGAAGCTACACCATACGGCATATAGGTTCTAAGATTATACGATATTCTAAGGTAGTAGTACACAGTCAGGAAATAGAATTGAAACTTTGATTTTATGTCAAAACTGTGAAGTTCTTCTTCATGTTTTTGTTAACTATCATAATTCCTTTATATAGGATTGTTGCTCACCAAGATGTTACTGAAACATTGACCCTTACTTCTACAGACTTTTCTTTCTCAGGTTCGTGTTAACAACAGAATTCCTTTATATGAGATTGCTGCTTACAAAAATGTTACTGAAGCAATGACCCTAAATGCTTAAAACTTATTTATAGCTTTCTATGGATTTTCATTTACTCGTGGTATTGTAAAATGTTCATATATGAACGTTTATCGGGGTTTCGGTGGGATGCGCGTTTTAAATATTTTTAAAAAGTGTAGTGTTTTATGGGCTAATGTGTTTCTTTTTTCTTTTGGCCATCTTGTTGTCTGTCGTTTTTCGAATCTTTTTTTTTTAATTCCACTTTAATCAATTTTAGTATTTTTAGTTATATTTTAGTATTTAATATAGCTGTTTATGTTCAGAAATAGGAATTTTTATTCTAAAAAGTTGGAGAGGTAAAAAGAGATTTTATACTCGCATAAACGTTTCGTTCTTTGTTTTAACTGATGATGTTTTCCAGTTTAATATTTTTCACCTTGCTCAGTTGGTTTTATTTACTGAACATTGTGTCCTGTTTGGACCCTGTGTAGCTTACTTAGCGGTATTGATGAACGTCTCTGGTGAATGGTTGTCCGATTGGCAATCATACCACATATTATTTTTTTCAAGTTTAATATGTGCCCTTATAACATCCCCCCCTCCTCCCTCCTTGTCTTTTTGCTTAAATTATCTGATATTAATTTTGTTAAAACAAACTTTTCACAACAATGTATTCATTGCCTTTCTTGTTGAAATAAACGCTTTTTGTGTCTTATTCCCGATTGTGACAGTTTGACTGATTATGGTGCATGCATAGCAAGAGACGCTTACTCGGTAGGCGCATCCGGTCTCGCTCCTTTTCGAGGTCATGTGGTTCCCTTAGTTTGCGTTTGTTACCCTTATTTATCTTCTTGATCGATTTATGAGATTTGAACATCGGTAAACTACCGTTGCCTGATTTTGACCTGAGAAACAATATATCCTAAGGTGGAAATACACAGTTAGGAAAAAACTTAAAATTGACACTCATAATTTTTAACCACCCTCCTTCACTGGCTTTCTAACAAATAAGGCTTACTGTTTGTGTCATGTATGTCCATAAATTTGATTTTCAATAGTTAAAAGGGTGAAATTTAATCTCTTTTTGGTGTAACCATGGCAACAATCTGCATTTATTTGATGCAAAATATTCAAAAAGCGAGGGGTGAAAATGTCGAAAAAGTCTCCAAAATTTTTTTCCAAAGTAGAGTTTCAATCCATTTGAATGATACCTTTTCAGAAACCATTGACATTTACCTATCAGGAGGTCAAATAAAATCATATGCATTTCACCTCTTTTTTCCATAAAATTGAATTGAAAAGTTTTAAAAAAGCGTAAAATATTTGTTGAAAAACACTAAAATAATTTCTGGACGTACGGGCGGTACGGATGTAAAAATACGGACTGTCAAACATAACATGGCATATAAAACATGCAAAAAACAATTTGGATGTTCATATAAACCCACTTTGAAGGCTATATTATTCTTCAGCCATCTAAAAATCAATTTTGTTGCACAAAAACTTTCATATTTGAAAAATTCACCTGAGCCAAAATGCGAAACCTAACACCTAACTGTGTATTGCTCAGCTATGTATATATATGAAAAGGACAGGCTTGAAAAATTAAGTGTCCAGTATGCAGATGTTATATACAGATAAGAGGATGTGGTATGATTACCATTGAGACAATTCTCCACCAGAGACTAAATAACGTAGAAGTAACAACTAAAGGTCACCGTACAGCCTGTCCCAAGTCAGGAGCCTTTGGTTTGTTATGTGTGTTTTTTCGTAAATTGTTTTGTTATAAAATAGGCCGTTAGTTTTCTCGGTTGAAATGTAATACTTTTTTCTCTCGATTATTTAACGAAAAAAAAATCATCAAGATAACGGTAAGTATTGTTGAATTTAACAATTAAATGGATCTTTACTGAGTTTGGCCATAAAATGTGATTCATAAAAAAACAAGAATATATCTGTTGTTAAAGGGGCACAGTTGGTGCCATTGGAATACCTACAATCTGTCGATCAACTGTATTGCTGAAACGTACATTGATGTTGTCAAGGAGAAAATTGACAGCTTTAACCTCTCATCACACTTCTAGTCCGTATGACTAGTATATGTACCGTTTTCATTACATTTCAGTTGCAGCAAATAAATTTGCAATCAGATTTTTAAACGACCATTTGAATAAACAGGAAAACTTTAATTGATAAGATTTTGTGGAAGTGTAGTGTAGAGAGCCGAATATTCAACACTTCAACCAAATTAAAAAGGTCATCAGTAGCACGTAATTTATCTAAACCATCCAAAAATATTTTAAACTTCAAAAATAGAAAATTTTACCATATTCATACGCTTTATTACAAAAGTTAATAATAAGTTCTTTGATAGTAGTTAAGGAACTAGTTAAAGCTTGAAACATTAGTTGCAGAACACTTACTAGAGGCCGATATGAAACGATATTTCACGTTGTTTTTTTTTTTATTATTTTTTTTTGTGTAGATTAGATAACCAATACATAGCAGTGACCGTCAAATGTTCAGAGGAGGCCATAAGCGGAGATGTAGTAATGACATGATTGTTTATTATCTGACTCTCTGTGGAGCATACGGACCTGAATGTAAAGGAATTTATATGTTTCATTCTTAAAAACTTCTGTGTAGTATTTTCGTCATGCTACCATCACATTGCTGGCTGCTTTGTTGGTCGATACGAACACAAACCGCTTTGCAAGTACTTGAAGTTATTTTCTTATTTTAAAAGTGTGATATTCGAACATCCACAATATTCATAAGAACCAAACGTTTTTTATCAGTTTTTTCTAGTACATATTTTCAATAACTGGCGTATAATTAAAAATAAACTTCTACCGGTTTTATTGTATGTATACAAAATAATAGGTGGTTCTATGTTATCTAAATAACTTAAAAAGAAACCAACCAATTTCATTTTTCAGTTTTCTCTCGTAACTACATGTTAGCCAGCTTTAATTAATTATATAGATGATATAAATGTACATAACAATCTTGAATTAAAGTAATTTTTTCAGATAAGATTGGTTGCATGCATACTAGTATCCAGAGCCAAAAAGTCGATTAATTCAATTGGTAGGTTCTGAAGAGGATTTGTTGGAATAAATATCGGATAATGTGGACTGTCACTGGAAAAAGAGATGTTATTTAGTATTTAAAAAGCGTGACAATCCCCCAACACGAGGCAAAGGATTAAAACGCATGAAAAATGTGTTTTCCATACAATAATATAATGTTCGGTCTCTTTATGGAATTTCCAAACGAGAATTTATTATTTTTATTATGTATTGATATTAATGTTTTTCGAGAGTACATACACCAACCTTTGTTATTTCGACGTGTACGTTTGAAGAATCGTCTATTCTTTTTATTTGACACGAGATTTTCTAATTCCTCTGGTTCCTTTACTCCTTTTGTTGTTGATTTACTCCGCTGAAATGTGTCAAATTTAAACAAGATGAGATGTTGGATATATCAGAGGATAAAATTTTTCTGTCATGCATTGTTTTATTTGTGTTGTTAAATGGAGGAAAAACCGAAAGCACGATAGTCAAAACATGGGAATTTATATTGCACGATGAAAATGTCGACGTCACAGTGTTTGGCGAAGCGTAAGATCAATCTAAAGTTGCCGTTTTCTAGTCGGTGTCAACTAAAACGTTAACTTTATCCTCTACCTAAACACAAACTCTGTTCCTTTTATCAATTTTCCGAAAAAGCTATAGTGATGATATAAGAAACATAAAACTACTCTTATAGAAATAAGGCGATGTGGTATGATTGCCAATGAGACAACTATCCACCAAAGGTTAAAAGAAGTGGATGTAAGTAATTATAGGTAACCGTACGGCTTTCAACAATGAGAAAACTCCATACGGTATAGTCGGCTATAAAAGGCCCGACATCAATAATATGAAACAATTCAATTGAGAAAACTAACGGCATAATGTATAACAAAACAATTACAAAAAACAAATATGACAGACATGAGCAACGACAACCACTGAACAACAGGCTCCTGACTTTGGACAGGCACATAAAGAATGTGGCGGAGGTAAACATGTTTCTGAGCGCTCAACCCTCCCCTAACCTGAGACAGTGGTGTTACAGCACAACATAAAATAAACTATAAAAATCAGTTGAATAGGGCTTAACTCATCAGATCGTTACAAAGCAGAAAAACATCTAACAAAACAACAGACCGGTCTTTGCAGGTTATTCATACATCTCTCACAACAAAATAGACACAAAGCACAGATGTGAGAGTACTCGCAGTTACTGACAGCTAGTTCAAAGTCAATAACAACTAATTAAACTCATGCATCTAAGACTAAAATAGTTATCAGTACACATCCAACATCTAATGGATTTAGTGTAAAGACTTCATTAACAGTAAGAGAAAAACATGACCTTGTGCAATGTCAAAATATAGTATCGACAGATTGTAGTACCTTAAAAGTGCATATGTGTATATTAATTAAATTTAGTATGGTTTTAATTTATTGATAACAAAATCAATATTTATATCAATAAAAACAATATTCAAAGGTCTAATTACAGTGCTGAATTGGTAACCTTTTAGAATAAGTTTAATTAAAGGTGTCAGACCACCAATTCAAAATCTATTCAACCAAATTTTGCAATTTTCACAGCTTTCTAAATAATTTACCTAAGTTTAACTTCACAGAAACCAGGTAAACCCTGAATCATACATGTATCACCTTTCTACATGCCAAAGAAGGAATTGGGGATTTACACATAGATCCAGAAGATACAAAAACATAAAACTGAGGACAACAGCACGAAGGCAAAGATACTTGTAGACTACTTTTCCAGCGTATTTACCAATGAACCTGACGGAGAAGTGCCAACACCAAACCAGGTACCAGGTACCAGTAATTAATGAAATGCCAAAACAGAAAATAAAGGAGGAAGTAGTACTGAAGCACTTATCTGCATTAAAAAATAGATAAATCACCAGGTATGGACAAACTACAGCCTAGATTACTAAAAGAGATAGCTGAGTCAATAGCAAAACCTTTATGTATTATCTTTATTCAGTCACTTGAGAATAAGACAGTACCTAACGACTGGAAGAATGCAATGATAAGTGCAAAATTTAAAAAGGGAAATAAATCACTAGCCAAAAATTATAGGCCCGTTAGTTTGACATCGGTAGTATGTAAAATAATGGAGAAAATATTGCGTGAATTTATTATAGAGCACATGAAAACGAACAACCTATTCTCTAAAAAACAATACGGCTTTATTGCAGGAAGGTCAACTGGTCTTCAATTGTTAGAAGTGATTGATAAGTGGACATAGGCACTAGATCAAGGTTTTGACATAGACTTCGTATATACTGGCTTTATGAAGGCCTTTGATAATGTACCTCATAGAAGATTGATAGCCAAAATTAAAAATCTAGGTATTAATGAAGATATAGTAGGGTGGATCACAAACTTCTTAGAAGACAGGAAACAAAAAGTCATAGTGAATGGTGAAGAATCAGATTGGGCGAATGTTACATCAGGGATACCCCAAGGATCAGTATTAGGACCACTACTATTTATACTATACATAAACGATCTTCCAGACCAAGTGGATTCTGATGCCTACCTATTTGCAGATGACACCAAAATCTTCAGAATAATAAAAACCCAGAATGACAGAGAAATTCTACAAGAAGATCTACATAAGATGGAAGCCTGGAGTGACAAATGGTTACTCAAATTTCACCCTGAAAAATGTAAATACATGAAAATATCTAAGAAATCTAACAGCACTGATCAATCACCAAATTATAATCTACTAAATCATCCAACAGCAAAGGTTAAAGAGGAAAAAGATATAGGAGTCCTTATCGACTCAGAACTCACCTTTGAGAATCACATAAGTGAAAGTGAATAAGGTCAACTCCATATTTGCAGTTCTCAGAAGAACATTTAAATACTTCGGTATTGAGACATTCATACCATTGTATTAAACCATGGTTAGAACTCATTTGAACTATGCAAGTTCAGTTTGGTCTCCATACAAGAAAAAAGATATTGATAAAATAGAAGGAGTCCAAAGAAGGGTAACAAAACAACTACCAGGTCTCAAAGAGCTATCCAGAGACTTAAAAAACTAGGCTTACCAACACTATCTTATAGAAGAATAAGAGGGGATATGATTAAAACCTTCAAAACAACCAATGGCTACTATGACAAAGAAGTAAGCTCATTTTTAAAAATGGCAGGCGATTCTCAACAAAGATATAGTAGCAGGACAAACAGTAACAAAGTCATTCACCAAGGATTCCAATCTAATATCCGTAAACACTCATTCTCTGTTAGAATTGCTAAAACCTGGAACAAACTACCAGATAAAATAACAAAGGCCCCATCCATTAATGCCTTTAAAAACCGAGTAGATAAATATTGGTCCGACAAAGAGCTATATTATAATGACTATAGAACAGAAATGTCCGGAAGTCACGGACAAAATAGTACTAGAAAAAACTTAAATTACGAGTCTGGTGAAGAGGAACCTTAAGGGATCCTGTACTGGAAATCAACTATAAGTAACTTATTTTCAAACCATGTTTAACGTCTTGTAACGAAGAACTACCGTTCGGAAGCCAAGTACTACTAAAAATAAACCCTGGTTTTCTGGAAATCTTAAATTAGTATACTATGGAGTGCGTTAATCCTCAATTTTTAATGCAAACTCACGGACAAGTAAATTCTAGCTCAAAATGGTCTGAATATAATTCTCTTTCACCAAAAGTTTCATTTCTGCAAATTTGTTGATTAGTTTAAATAAACAATGACATCAAAAGCACCATTTTTTGAAAGGGAAGGGCTACTTTTACCATACGTTCTAAATTGGAGTGGGTGAATTGGTGGTCTGACACCTAAAAGGATTGATAAGTTTACCCGGATCGTAACTAAATTTCCGGGTTCCGTAATTGGCTAGCAAAAGACAAAAAGTCATATTTACACCGTTTAATCGAGACGGCTGATCTTGGCTGCTGATATTATGTTCGTGACTTGTAGACTTCATTGTTCGTGACTTGTAGACTTCATTGTTTGCAAAATAACAAGCTCTAAATCGAGAATCTGTCATCGGGTCAAATTTTACATGGTGACTAAATTCATTAAGTTATTGCATAAGACAACTATTAATTAGAAAACAATTTCATTTACAAATAAGTAAATAGGATGGATGGACTGATAATATTTTTGACGGCCTTTACAAATTTGATCAAAGCCGGTCTTCCAATTTAAGGTCGTATAATAATGTGTCATATGTAGACGAAACGCGCATCTGACGTATCAAATGATAAGCCTGGTATCTTTGGTGATTTTTTTCCACCAGGTACCCAGTATAAGGTTACATTACAAGTTTCAATCTAGATGTTTGGCACAAAACATTTTATAAGTGAGGGAATGGCTTTTTAAAAAGTCTTGTTTCAAAGTTTGATAAAATTAAAATGTTTTGACCGTGATAGAACATTCCAACAACCAATATAAAACAATGAGACACCTTAAAATGTCCAACCCCTTTAGATTTGAACGATTTGGTTATCGTTTTAGGTCTTATTTGGTCATATAGCTCTTCAACTGTTCTGGTTCTTATATAATTTTGGCTTTCAAATATTCGGATTTCCTGATGAAGGTAAATCCAGAAAAGAGCTTCGTACGCATAAAATTTAGAAAGCGTTGTTTTCATTCTCTACAGCACTGAGTCGAAACCGCTGCTGGTGGACTATCCGGCCGAGGTTATCATCAGCTCAGTAGTCATGATTTAAAACAAACATTTCTTACATTGTCCATTTACAAATTTAGAAATTATTACGAAACTAAGGCAGAGCTGACCTTAGATGTATTTGGCTATTATTTTTAGGTCCTATTTGGTCATAAAGCTCTTCAACTGTTCCGGTTCTTATATATCCTTGGCAAACAATTATTCGGTTTTGAGCGTACCTGATGAAGGTAAATCCAGAAAAGATCTTTGTACGCATACACTTATTGTTTTAATTTTTGCTCACGCCTGAATTATAGATTTCTGGTCTCTCACTGATATGTTAAAATATAACATCCGCCGTCTACTACACATTTTATAATTTATGATAACAACCAACTGGCACGAAACATTACATCATATGATTTGAATACATGTAGTTATTTGTGGTTTCATGATTAAATTTAAAATTCAACAATTACACGAAACAAATACATGTATTTAGTTCAGTAATTGAATACAACTTAGAATCACTTTTTCTCAAATTTATAATGTTTTTTCAATTTTGATTACATTGATAAAAAGTTCGATTAAAAAATTATAATTACATGGAAAATCGTGTTGAAAACGTTGCGGATAGAGCTAGTTCGACCAAGTCCAGAATGATGACTTTTTGCTCGTTCTCTGTCTACAGGCTTATACTCTGCAAAATACAAATGATATGTTAAACCACATACAAGTAAGCTACTAAACCAAGGGTTCAAAGGGTAAAGTTGAAATTATATATCAGTTCAATAGTTTAACGGACATCATTATGATTTGGTTCTCCCTTTAGGAATATGTAGTATAGATTACCACGGATATATTCGACTTTGATTAGCCAAAATCATGTCCTGTTTTCTTTGATTGACACATCACCGATGTTTTACTAGCCATTAGCATCATTCATTGTTGGGTTCGTTTTGCTTTATCTTTAGTTTTCTGTGTGAAGTTTTGTGTATTATAATCACTGTTTTCCTTTTGTCCATAATGTCGTCGCTTGTAACACTTTTGTCGTTGCTCTTCGAAGAGATCAATAGAGAGGTGCATATACATTTCGTTAAGCTTTTACAGATTTCACTTACCGAGTCTTATCAACAATAAATGCTACAAAGACTTTCATCAATCACTACCAAATTCGTTATCGAATTACAAAATAAAAATAACAGAGATCTGACATATAAGAACCGCTAACATAGCAGTGATATTGATGGAGTTTGTATACTGTATGAGAGAGATACAAAACAAGTTTTTTTTTAAACCTTTTAACACTTCAAGACAAACTTAACCTAATTTCTATGTTTTTATTTGAACCAACTCTGCCCATCTGATTGCCAACTTGTTCCTTGATTTTTATGAGGCATTCTCATACAGAAGATTCTCAAGAAAAATCAAAGGAAACAGGCATTTTCCTTTACCATTACTTTTCGATATAACGATGATTTCTTTTAATCGGATAATAAAACGTTTGGTGTCTATATTGACTACATATATACCGAAGATTTCCTTTGACCGTATAATAAAACGTTTGGTGACTATATTGACTACATATATACCGAAGATTTCTTTTAACCGGATAATAAAACGTTTGGTGGCTATATTGACTACATATATACCGAAGATTTCTTTTAACCGGATAATAAAACGTTTGGTGACTATATTGACTACATATATACCGAAGATTTCTTTTAACCGGATAATAAAACGTTTGGTGGCTATATTGACTACATATATACCGATAATTTCCTTTAACCGGATAATAAAACGTTTGGTGACTATATTGACTACATATATACCGAAGATTTCCTTTGACCGTATAATAAAACGTTTGGTGGCTATATTGACTACATATATACCGAAGATTTCTTTTAACCGGATAATAAAACGTTTGGTGACTATATCGACTACATATATACCGAAGATTTCTTTTAACCGGATAATAAAACGTTTGGTGGCTATATTGACTACATATATACCGATGATTTCCTTTAATCGGATAATAAAACTTTTGGTGACTATATTGACTACATATATACCGAAGATTTCTTTTAACCGGATAATAAAACGTTTGGTGGCTATATTGACTACATATATACCGATGATTTCCTTTAATCGGATAATAAAACTTTTGGTGACTATATTGACTACATATATACCGAAGATTTCTTTTAACCGTATAATAAAACGTTTGGTGACTATATTGACTACATATATACCGAAGATTTCTTTTAACCGGATAATAAAACGTTTGGTGGCTATATTGACTACATATATACCGATGATTTCCTTTAATCGTATAATAAAACGTTTGGTGACTATATTGACTACATATATACCGAAGATTTCCTTTGACCGTATAATAAATCGTTTGGTGGCTATATTGACTACATATATACCGATGATTTCCTTTGACCGGATAATAAAACGTTTGGTGACTATATTGACTACATATATACCGATGATTTCCTTTGACCGGATAATAAAACGTTTGGTGACTATATTGACTACATATATACCGATGATTTCCTTTGACCGGATAATAAAACGTTTGGTGACTATATTGACTACATATATATCGATGAACATTAAGTAGATCTAAATGATTCTCCAGCAACAGTTTGTTTTGCCTACAGATGACCACAGTTATGTTCCACTTGTGATAACCAAAATCCCTACTTCTTTTTCTCGATTATTACAATACCAAAGAGACTTATCATAGGATTTGTACTTACATGAGCAAACCAATGGTGCAACATATGGTGCATCAACTGCTTACCCTTTCGGGGAAACCCAGTTCATCCCCGGTATTTTTGGTGCGGTTTATGTTGCTCAATCTTTAGTTTACTGTGATATATTCTGAAATTATTGTTTGCCTTTCACCATTTTTCTTTAAAATATTGCTGTGGTGTTGTCTGTTTTTAATTGACCTTTTGTTTTGATTGCCCTTTTGTTGTCTTTTCTTTTTTTTTTATTTATAATTGTCAGTTGATGGATTGAGGTTTAGGCTCTTTGTCGCTTTTCATTATAAGTCTGATTGATTGCATTTGGTCATAAATCACAAGAATGCAATACGCTCCATATAAAATCCTGCCCCAGGTAATCAGATTACTTATCTTTCATTAATTGTTCGATCTTGTTGCATTCTAGCTAAGAAAGAAGTGCGGTGTTGTTGTTTTTTTCTGTTTTTTTTTTTGCGCTATAGCAAAGAGGTTGTGAGTAAAGTTTGGGTTATAAGCGTATGAACCAAATCAGAAAAATTACGGTCAACTGCCAATCGATCCCTTAAAGTTTCCAATGAAAATAGATATCGATATTTGAATTAACATGTGTTATTCGTAATACAACAATAGCATACCCTGCTCATTACTCTCATTAACTTGGACAGTCATTGTCTCCTGTGTACCAACCGTTATCCGTTCCAGAAAAGTATTACCCTGCTCATTACTCTCGATAATTTGGAATGTTACTGCCTCCGGTGTACCATCTGTACCCTGTTCATTACTCTCGATGATTTGGAAAGTTATTGCCTCCTGTGTACCATCTGTTATCCTATCCAGTATAATATTACTGATGATTTCTTCTTCTTCATCTTCAAGATCCAAATCAAAAGACTCCTGTAGTCTCCTCTCATCGAACAATTTATCTGTTGACTTCGATACATCAGTGCACTTAATAGTAGGGTGTAACCAATCACCAGCAGAATCGGGTATTATGACTTCCTGTTAACAACAAAATAGAGGTGTTAAACGAAAAATTGTTACCGTTAACTGAACAAACTCTTGAGAATATGACAACCATATTGGAATACTGGAAGTTTGAATCCTATCATCTATTGTTAAAGTAAGAGCAAAACATCAGGATCTAGTACACGTGCATAAAATCAAAGCATGTGCAATTCCTAAAAAAATAGTTAGGCAAGAAACCACAGGCAGGAGAAAAACTGGTTATGTGTGGAGAGAAATATTATGTATACAGTTAAATTGATTTTTGTTCGTATATCCGTGACTCAAACTATTTGAAACCTAATTCCTTCCAGAAAAGCCGGTTGTTGCTGTTAATGAAAATGTTCCTAATATCGTGTTTTTTTGGTTTGTTATTTTTTTTTGCAATCAAACATTTCACAATCCCTCAAATAAAGGCACCACCAGACAGTAACATAGGTACACATTATATATATTTGTTTTTATCATGGAAAATTGAGTTGTGTTAAAGCTAACATTTTTCAATTATGCATTTTGGTACTTAAACTCATTAACAACAAGTACAGTGGGGCCCTTGATATATTAGAATTTATATGAATACTAAAGATTACAAGTCATGCGTTTTGAAAATCGTTTTGCATATATGTAACGTTTTATTTAATGCTTCATTATGTATTATCGATGTCTTAGTGGCCTTGTGGGGAAAATGACGAAAGGGTAGCGATTAATGTTGTGGTAAGAGACGATGTCGAATGTTAGGCTTTGAGGGTGGTGATTATGGCACTAGAGGCAGTATTTTCTGATATGCGTTATTATGTGGCGTCGCGGATCCACCTCTTGAATAAAAAATGCCGGAAAATACATTCAATATGCCTGCTGATTATTACCACACTGCTAAAGACTAGATTTACAATTTTGCAATTTTTAATTGAAGACTTTAGTGTATTTTTAAATTACCGACTCTGTTTCCAATTTCGGATTTTTTTTTTTGCAGAGAGAAACAACACTTAGATAGGAGAAACTGCATGTATTCCTGCCTATTAAAAGCAAATAGAACGTGCATGGTGTATGTTCGAGATTTGATAATATTTTTTTCTTCGAAAGGGAAAACCATCAAACGTGTTCTTTTCATAAGGATTTTATAGGCAGTGATCCATTTTTTTATTTACTTTTGCAAACAATTCTAAAATTGGAAACAAAATCGGTAATTGGAAAATAGCCTTAAAAAATGAACAAATCAATTCGACTATTTTTGTGCCAAAATTTTACTTCTTTTAACTTCATGCAAATGTAAACTTGGATGTTTCGGAACAATTAATATTGTGTAATAATAAAACGCTGCAGAAGTCATTCAGCAATGTTTAACTTTTAATAATTCTGAAGAGAAAATAAATATTTGAAGAGGACGCATATATATACGTACAATATCGTACATGTAAACAATAACAGGCATACAAGATTAAAAGTAACATAACCGACAAACAGATCGACGAATTCAATTTTAACAACTTTCCTTCTGTATATTTTGCGACAAACCTGTTTACTTACTTCATCAGACATATTCTCCTCAGTTTCATCGAATGTTTACTTACTTCATCAGACATATTCTTCTCAGTTTCATCGAATTTTTACTTACTTCATCAGACATATTCTCCTCAGTTTCATCGAATGCAAAACTAAATTCCCCCAAAACACTGTCAATAACGAATTCTTGAATAAAATGACTAAAGATGGAATCAAAAGCTTCTTCACAGTTAATCGACTCCTCTTCTCCCATTACCAAGCATATTTATCTTTAAACTGTTGGCGAAACAGATATTTTATTACAAACATAAAATTCAACTTCATGTTCAGGCCAATAAGCCATTAATGTGGTACATTACATATTATTTTACTTTTTTTTCAATGAATGCAACCATTTAATTAAGAAATGAATAATTATATTCGGTTTTTATTTTCCTGCTAAAAACCTTTTGACTGTAAGATTTGAGTGTTACTTATTCTAACGTCTATTGTACGAAACTGTTCTATTGTCGACCACCATATATTGGCCTCTTAACGGTATATTTCTATTTGTTTCTTTGTTGTTGGGTCTTTGAAATATTGCAGTCATTTTTTTGGTTTGTTACACGAATGTAATAAAAACTTAAGTGTTCTGTACGGCCTTCAAAAATAAGAAAAACACTTACCGTATAGAAGGACAAAAAAAAAAGATCCCGAGACGAAAAAAAATGTGTAAAATTCGAAAGAAAGACGCAGTTTGGATTTAAGCTAACATCATTGAATGAAAACTATTAATGTCAGACAGCAACCAAAAACAAACACTGGACTTCTACACCCGGCTTTGAACAGGTACATAAACAATGTGGCGGAGTTGAACATGTATTTAATTGCTTTGTCTCTCCAGCCGGGGCAGTGGTGTAACAGTACAATATTAGAGCAAACTGTAATAATTAGGTGAAATGTGCTTAACTATTAAATCAGATCGGTACTATGCACACACTGATGCTGTAGATGCTATAGATAATATATTTTGAAATGTCCAATTTACAAAATAGGAAATATAACACATATACAAAAAAAAAAATACTAAAAGAATGGAAACTGGGTTTTTTCAAGAAAATAGTCTTTTTTAATGTAGATGAAACGATAAAGACTATTGTCCCCTGCACTAAGTTCTCTAGTATTTATGGTGATTGTTCGTTATTTTTTAAAACTCACAGTTATGCATGCAGTTTTATATATATACTTTGAGGTTTAGAAAAGATCCCTTCGTATTTCTAAATCGCTGCAATTTTAATATTTTTGACAAATTTTGAGTTTCTATTCCTAAATAAAAAGGAAAAACTTTAAGACATTTCTAACAAATTCAAAATTCTGTCCAAAGTAAATATAAAGATGGTATTTAAAATATAAATTAATCAAATAATTTAATTTGCATCCTGATGTCTTTCATTGTAGAATCTTTCCTTGAATTTTTCCACTTGCAAGTTAATTTTCTTTAATTCGATATAACTAACAAGGCTTCAGCTTCATCTGGGTACTCTTTTGGGTCACATAGCATAATTTCATATTTCGAAACATGGATAACCAGATTATAAATGCTTCAAGATGTCTCATGGAGCTGGCATGTCAGTAACTGCTAGTAGTCCTTTGTTAATTTATGTTGATCATTGTCATTTTGCTTAGTTTCTTCTGTTACCTATTCTAACATCGGACTCCGACTTCTTAGTTTTACTATGCGTATTGCTGTGTGTTTGTATTTCTACATTGGCTAGGGGTATAGGGGGAGGGTTGAACCAGTATACATTTTTGTTTAGGGGCCAGCTAAAGCCCACCTCCGGGTGCGGAATTTTCTCGCCGTGTTGAAGACCCATTGGTGGCCTTGAGCTGTTTGGTCAAGTTGTTGTTTCTTTGACACATTCCCCGTTTCCATTCTCAATTTTATCACAACTGCATACTTGATAGATTTCCGTATTTTGAGTATCTATTTAAAAAATGTTAAACAGTGAAGTACATTTAAATTCAAAACCATATTCTATCGAGTTATAGTTTTTGCATCGTCTTTTACATATAAAAATCCCGAAGATCTTTACCATAACATATTTCAGTAGAAAAAACCAACAGCACTGTGTATGTCATTTATGATTTTTATTTATTTGTCTTTGTATCTTTAAAACTGTTTGAAATTCTAATAGTATATATTATTAAGACCCATAAAAATTAAATGTCCACTTTTGTAACCAACTTTCAGCTAATGACACAAAACGCGTAAAAAAATATATGGAAGTGGGCATACCAGTTTGCAATTTTATATTTGAACATTTTAACGTTGACAAAGAATCTGTATTTTCATCAGGCTGCCGTTTCATAAAACAATCGTTAGCGTACGTTTAAACGTTAACCAAACGTAACGCTAAAATTCCGTTTCATAAAACAATCGTACTTTGCGATGGTCGTACATTGCGTGTGAATCGCGAACGCTATTTACGTGTGGTTAAACCTGTCGCAAAGCGATCTTTACATAAAAGATGGCCGTCGCCTAGTCCAAATAATTATGACGTCTTGAAAGGCTATTATATTTTTTTTCTTTGACGCCTTACATCGTCATTATGACGTCTTGAAAGGCTATTATATTTTTTTTCTTTGACGCCTTACATCGTCGATGTAAGGCGTCAAAGAAAAAAAATATAATAGCCTTTCAAGTCGATGTAAGGCGTCAAAGAAAAAAATTATAATAGCCTTTCAAGACGTCATAATTATTTGGATGTAAGGCGTCAAAGAAAAAAAATATAATAGCCTTTCAAGACGTCATAATTATTTGGACTAGTCGATGTAAGGCGTCAAAGAAAAAAAATATAATAGCCTTTCAAGACGTCATAATTATTTGGACTAGCCGTCGCCTTGCATACTTTGAGGCACAACCGACGCCGAATCTTTAGACGACACATGGTTTTCAGGGAAGGATTGAAATTATGGACAATTTAAATGACACATATATCATATCTCGCTACCGTCTTGGTAGATAGGGCATATTTGAGTTTTCAGATACACTTTTACCACGCCTTGAAAGGACGACTTTGATAAATTTCTCAAAACCTCCTTTCACACAGACTTTCGGGTAAAGTAAAAGAGAATGTGCGTGCTATGAACTTACAATTTATATGTATAACAAGTTATTTCAACAAAACAATCAGAAATATCTGGACCAAACCATTTGTTGGTGATATATGAACAAAAACATGGACAAATTAAATTTTATACCAAATGTTTACTGTTGACGCTACTAAAAGGTGTCTTCTGTCACGTCCGCGTTTTGGCAGGGAGTGCTTGTTTGTCCAATTATAATAACTCCGGTTGAAATATTAATAATATTTTGTTTTTAATTTTTATTCCACGAGGCCATTTGAAATTATTTAAATCTGTAGCTGTTAGCAAAAAAAAAGCAGCACTCTTTCAAAAAGATATGGGAAGGGTATGAGGGTATATTTATAAAAAAAAAACTTGTGACGTCAGATATTTTGATACTGTGCGGGATTCAACATTATTCGTTGGATACCAATTTTCATGGCTTTTGTGGGTACAGGTGGACCAATAGTTTAAGTCAACGAATTATTTTTTTTCTATAGGCTTTGTATGCATAAATTGGCAAAACCACGAAATAAATATCAATAAAATGCATTTTTTCCTTAATCCACGAACATTGATAGCCACGAAAATAAATTAATCCACAGTAGTTGACCTTCCAAATGACAGAAACAAGTGCCTGTGATGTACACGGATATATTTGTTCCTTACCTATTCAACAGACGAAAAATATACATAAAATTGGAACTTGAACAATAAAATTTCGGGTGTGCAACAATACAGAACGGTACTAGCTCCCCTTAAAATGGTTTCAATAGTTATATATAATAGAAAATAGCTTTTGCAAATGTTATTATTACTATAAAAATGAAATGGTAGTACTACGATAGCCAAAGAACCTTAATACTAGTGCCTTAAAGTTTTAAAACAATGAAAAAGGAACGATATAAATAATTTAAAGAAAGCCATTTAGTTTAAACATATCTTATCTACAAAAGTAGCAAAATGGTTATAAATATGAACAAAGAAAAAATATTTTATAATGACGATAACCGAAAAGGAATACATGTTATCAAAAAATTCGGAACCCTTTGTCTCGCGGTTTTATGCTGCTGTCAGCGTAAAAGTGTAATGTTAACTTAAAAATTAGTCCATTTATCAGTGAACTACAGAATTAAAAAAAAAATCTTAGATTGATACTGTCTTTTTGGTCATAAACAACCTTCTGTCCAATTTCATGAAATTATACGAAGGGTTGACAAAGTTATTGATATCTCAAACAAACTTTAACCACAGAGGGTCCACCGACTGTACCGAAATGATGACCCCGACGCCGACGACGTAATCTATTATCGGTATGTCCCGCTTTATAAATAAATTTCGCAGGCTTGACAGAAAGGGTGGAAATATGTACATGTAAAATGATAAGACTGGTCTGGATTGGAATGAGAGAAATTAAGAATTGATCATTTTAATTGCATGATTTGAATCGTTGTGTAATTCTGACATAAGATTGTAGAGACTCAAAAATGTATACATATTTACAAGAGAGTTGTCTCATTGGCACTCATACCACATCTTCTTATATCTATTTTGCTGAAATGTAAGGTCTCCATCAACAGCCAAGTAAAGCTCAAATGATATAGTATACATTTGTACATCTTTCTAATTAATAAAATTTCTATCGCTTCTTTGTGAAGATGGAACTAAAAAATTGTGAAAACATTATTCAGCCAGCAAAAGCCATGTAAAAGAGGGTCGTAATGGGGATACCTTCATTACGAACAACGGTAAAAAAATTGTTGTCAAATGACATTAACTGTAATTTTCGATGCATGACCATTTTCTTAATGACGATAAAAAAAATCGACTGCTTTTGACAATTTATTTTCTCCACAAATAACGGTAACAAATAATTATTTGAGATCTCTGAATCTCGAGAATACGGTGGCAATATGCGGGTATGAAAGAACGAGATGACTATCTTGTGGGAACGACGTATTGTCTTGAGAGAACGAGATAACTATCTTGTGGACACGGCATATAGCATCTTGAGGGAACGAGATAACTATCTTGTGAGAACGACATAATATCTTGAAGGAACGACATAATATCTTGAGGGAACGACATATCATCATGAGGGAACGAGATATCTATCTCATGGAAACGACAAAACATCTTGAGGGAACGAGATAACTATCTTGTGGAAACGATATAATATCTTGAGAGAACGATAAAACTTTCTTGTAGGAACGGCATAGCATCTTGAGGGAACGACATAACATCTTAAGGGAACGAAATAACTATCTTGTGGTAACGACATAATATCTTGAGAGAATGATATAACTTTCTTGTGGGAACGGCAAAGCATATTGAGGGAACGACATAGCATCTTAAGGGAACGAGATAACTATCTTGTGGTAACGACATAATATCTTGAGAGAACGATAACACTTTCTTGTGGGAACGGCATAGCATCTTGACGGAACGACAAAGTATTTTGAGGGAACAGTATTTTTTTCTTACATGGCAGCATTCTGCCACCGTACGATAAGGATATTTTGACGAATCACGATAAAACTTTAACCATTTTGTCGCTAACGCGACGTAAGCCGAAAATGACCGTTTGGCGCCTGACGGTAAAGTGCATCGCTACCCTCATTAAAGCCATCGATGTGATTAAAAAGGTATTAAAATTTTAAAAAAGAGCTATAAATGTTTATGTTCTCTATTTAATAAACACAATGTGGGAACGCAACTGTATGTTTTTTTTAGATATTGTGGTCATTCGGGAGACTGTCAACAAGCGGTTCTCCGACATTCGAAATAATTTTCGGATACGTGGTTTTTTTTCATTATTATCTCTGGGGCTTACTTGTAATGTATATGAGAAAACTTTTGTATCTGTCATTAATATTCAAACATTGAGGGGTGCCGAACCAATTCTTAAAGCAAGAAAACAGGGGGGAAATTGAAATAAAACTAAGAGCTCCGACCCAAATTATGGAAATAGTTGTGTTCGTTCAGCTGAATTTTTGACTTTTAATAAAAGAATTGTTTTCAAAATTTTTAAGATGTTTAAAAAGAATTAATATATAGTTTTTCCTCAAATTTAACTTCAATATGTTTACACTCACAAATAGTTCTAAATCTTTAAAAACACATGCCACTATATATTTTTCACTGTACGGTCACTTGTCGGTAAACAACTTTCGACTGTATTATCACTTGGATATGTAATGTCAGAGTCATGATTTTGGCTAGAGTATGCATGAAAAAAAAGTTACAAAACAGTACAACATAAGAATGAATTATAAAGATATATTGAAAATGGTTCAACTCAACAAGGCATAAAAAAAAACAACGATCAAAAAGATAAAGTACCGATTGACAGTTACTGAAACTAGTCTTACACCAATTATAACTTATAAAACTCACGTGTCCCCAGACTTTAATATCACTCAGAAATCATCAAATTATTCTGAAAATTGATATGTCAAAAATAGTCTAGATCGAAAAGATATTTAGTACTTGTATTTTTGCAGCTTTAACATTTCACATACAGTCTAAAATAGGGCGATGTTAGCCTATGTCATCACTTGACGTCCGTCGTCGTAAATTATTTTAAAATTCTTCTCCTCTGAAATTACTGTTCCAAATACATCCAACTTTAACTGGATGTTTTTTATAGTTGTGTCTAGTTTATAAATTCTATCCGGGGATTTCATACATAAAAAATATGCCACCATTGCCAAATATTAAACATAAAAGGGGGGGGGGGGCGGTTTTTTGCTTATATCTCGAAACCTAAGCACTGCCATGAAATAAATAAAATATTTACTCATATTTGAATCGACGTGGATTCGATTCTCAGCAAGTTGAAACCAAAGAAGAAAGTTGGTATTTGCTGTTTCTCCTATTAGTATGCAGCATGTGGGGGTATTAGTAAAGATTGGTAGGTCCATTTATGTCGGCCTAGTAAATTTCGGGGTCAAGATTGATATCTCATAATTATAGGTTCTAACCTTAACATGCACACCTCTTGTTTTATCAAACATGAATAAAACTGAATCCTATCAGTTCCTTTTGTGATATCAAAATTCTTTGCGTGTATTATATCTGGAACACACATTCTAGGAGTTGCGAGGTGGTAAATTGCATGTGGCTTAATTACAATCAGTTAAAGTTCGAGTTCAAGTTCGAGATGATCTTCAAGTTATATTTTGAGTTACTTTCCAAGTTAAACTTCGAGTTCGAGTCAAAATTCCAGTATCAGCAACATTCGAGTCACCTTAAATTATGTTTGAATTCTTTACAATATTGTCTTCAATATATGCAACGTTACAGTACATGTAGAGGGCAGAATTGCATTTTTTTTACGTAATGTATATTTATCAAAATGTTTAAATATCTTTTGAACATTTCCTTTAGACTCTTTTATGTACAAGTTCCAGTGAGACTCATTAACTCTCCTGTGATAACTAAGAGAGTCGAAAAGTTACTTTGTCATTTCTATATTATTTTTTGAATAGCTTGATAAAACTAGGTTGTTTTCATTCGGTAAAATTTACATAAAATTGAGAATGGAAATGGGGAATATGTCAAAGAGACAACAACCCGACCAAAGAGCAGACAACAGCCGAAGGCCACCAATGGGTCTTCAACGCAGCGAGAAAATCCCGCACCTGGAGGTGGTCCTCAGCTGGCCCCTAAATAAAATTGTCTATAATCAAAGTCAAATTTAATAAAACTTACACTTTCTGGTTGAAACTGAAAACAATCTTACGTCTCTCCTAACGTTACCATAACGTGACTGTGACGTCGTCATCGTTGCTCATTACTTGGTTCCTGACTTTCTAGTCAATACTCAAGACTTGCACTGAATATTAAGATGACAGGCTCAATGTCTTTAATCATATTACATTTTTGATAAAATCGTTGAAATCACATTTATGTTGATGATATAAAGATAAAATTACCTTTATTTTGTATAGAATGCTTAAGGAAGTATATATATATATATAATTTAATCTTTAAACCCGACAATTTGAGGTAAATTGCGCTTGTTATATAGACATTGTGAAATGTTTATTATATGTATTGACCCATTGTATGTATTCGCTGGTGCAGACATCTTTTTATTTTACAAAGAACTTTAGTATACAGAAATTTTCTTTTCCTCTTAGTGAAAACTTGGCCGTGTGATGAAGTCCGTTACAAACTTCGAAGTCAAAAAGGTCCTGAAATATGCAAAACTCATCTGTAAGTATATATATGTTAATTTTATTTAAATGTAAGTAGGTCTTTCAAGATTTGCAAATGATATGATAAAACAATGCCTTTTAAATATCGCGGAGGAAAAAGAAGCGGCCAAAGATCAGATCAATTACAAAATTATAAAATAAAAACGCGGAAAGAGTATGGGATTTAGAAAATTTGAATGAAAAGTAATGTTGTATACATGTAAAACTTTACAACCCGGAAGTGAAGAAACCACACAAGAGGAAACTTCGATATATATTGTTACTTATCAGGGGCAAAAGTTATGTAAAAATTGAAAGTAATGGAATGTGCGCAACTACTTATTTAAATCCATAAAAGGTCAGTTTTAAATACTTTTGGTTCGAACTTTAAATTTAGATTTTATACAACTTGGTTTGTGTAACATTATTGTGTATTATATGTATTAATATCGACATGTCTGTTAGTAATGCTCCTGTATAAAATGTACAAATGTCTAAACTTTTTTGATAATTCATGCATAAGAAAATGTAACAGAAATCGCGTGCAAAATCTGGTATCCAGAATCTGTCTTCTTTTCAACATTACCTGAGCTTGCAATATGGTGGTCGTTAGGGGTGCGGGTCCTGTTATTGCATATTAATGTTTCTATGTTATGTACTAATTCACTTTGTTTGGTTTCTGCCTTTTTTCGTTTTTTCTTTTCTTTTCACGTTTCCAGACTGCCCCTGGGTATCTTCAAATTCACAATAAGTTTTAATTAGTTATAATTGAAAATAACCATTTATAAATTTGGTGCGTCTGCATCATTTAAATTAAGTGACAATTAAATGATTCAATTGTCGATTCATTGTTTTAGATTTGAATATATCACTAAAAGAGTATTTGATGTATAGGACAATTAAACAGTATAACAACGGCACAAAAAGCCAAAAGACATCTGGTGGTCAACATTCAGCCGTCAACAATGGACGTGTGCCTGTACATTGAGTAAAACTCAAAATCAATAACCAATGAAAGAGAGGCGAAAGATACCAAAGGGACATTCAAACTCATAAGTCGAAAATAAACCGACAACGCCATGGCTAAAAAAGAAAAGGACAAACAACACACAAAACAACAAAGAAAACTAAAGACTGAGCAACACGAACCCCACCAAAAATTGGGGGTGATCTCAGGTTCTCCGGAAGGGTAAGCAGATCCTGCTCCACATGTGTCACCCGTCGTGTTGCTCATGTTAGTACAAACCCGGTAATAAGTCTAAATTGGTAGTTGTTCACCTTCGGAGAAAACGGACGGGATTGTAGTTATGACATTTGGAACATATCCGCTATCATCTGTGAAACGGATATTCCATAACGGTCAACCAACTCGTGATGGCGTCCGTAAAATTTCCGAAGAGATGATTTCAACTTCTCCACTTGGAACTCTTGGTTTGATAGCTTCCTTGTGAGCAGCAACCCTCAATTAAGGAAATCATAATAGGAAATACCAACGATCTGCATTCAACACACTATTTCTTATGTGACAAAACGCGTTAAGATATATAAAAGACAACCACTAACCTGACATGTGGTTTGGCTAAACTATTTTTTTCTTATCTCAACTCCCCCAATTATCTCTATCAGAAGAATGACAAACGGTTTAGGCTAGCAATGAATTTACAGTGAAAACAGTTTCTGAAAAGCACTTAACTCTATAAATGATACTAAATAACTAAATCACAAGAATAAGGCCACACCAATTTGATTTTTAGTTCTTCGGACAAAAGCTCCAAAAAATATGGGGCGAGCGAGCGAAATTTTTTTTATTGTATTTATTTCTTGAAAATGAGTTTTGTTGAGGCGGGTGCTCTACAAGTGGAGCGAGCGGTATAATTTTTTTTTTTAAATTGTGCGATTTAGAATATTTGTACATGTTAAAACTGGGTTACTTCAAAGAAAAAGGAGGATAAACATGCTCTTATGCATATAAGTTGATGTATTTGTGTCTTTAGTACAGTCTGTACCATACCCAACTTTTTGGTTCGCTTTAGTTTAGTATAATTTTGATTATTTTCGTCAAATAAGCTTTGACTGCGTGAGTTTTCATTTGAGTTCATACATGTGTATATATTAAGGAAGCATATCAGATGCAGTTTAGCAAGAGGAATTATGTTAGTTAGGTAAATGAAATGTGTTGAATACAATTAAAATATGTGTATGTGTTCCAAAAAAATGCCCATGAAAAATATTAAATATCTTTTGATATAGTTGTTTCATTATATGGTAATGATTGTTTATTGGCTGCTTGACATCCAGTTGGAAACTATTTATCCATAATAGGATCAACATAATGAGTGAGGTGAATATTTCAACAACATCCTGAGTAAGATAATTATATTGCTACATTGCTATGTATGCAGATCTCAATGTATTAAAACATTTAATCCCGCTGCAAATGTTTGCACCTGTCCTAAGTCAGGAATCTGATGTACAGTAGTTGTCGTCTGTTTATGTAGTTCATACGTGTTTCTCGCTTCTCGTTTTTTATATAGATTAGACCGCTGGTTTTCCCGTTTGAATGGTTTTACACTAGTAATTTTTGGGGCCCTTTATAGCTTGCTGTTCGGTGTGAGCCAAGGCTCCGTGTTAAAGGCCGTACCTTGACCTATAATGGTTTACTTTTATAAATTGTTACTTGGATGGAGAGTTGTCTCATTGGCACTCATACCACATCTTCATATATATATTCCCTTAAAATACATTTAACCACATTCATATGCATTATTCTGACTAAGCAAAATACTTTTTCCTTTTGCCCCTGAAACCTGCAATGTATATCCAACCGGAAGTGGTTGCACCAATAACACATCCCTAATTATTATTAGCATGCCAATCCAAATACAACCACTTAGGTCTCGAATGTTGGAACTCTTAAATTTTCCCTTACAAAAGAGTTCGGATTGCATGTCAACAGACTAACAAGGGGATATGGAGTTTTCATTAAAATAAGATAAATCTGTCATTTTTCAAAAATTCATGTGAATTTAATATTAATTTCATCCAAGACAGATAGCTCTAGATATCTATGTCTGTTGTAGTCCGAGATTACTCTGACGTCCAACGGCTGTTTTGCCAGACAAGCTGGGGCCGTGGGACAACAGCCCCCCCCCCCCCCCCCCCCCCCCCCAATCTTGTCTGGCAAACAGCTGTTGGACGTCGGAGTAATCTCGGACTATGACTATGTCTGTTGAAATAATGATCGGGGATGACAATGGTTCTAACAAGTACTGATGTGATCGTGGTCATCTAACGAAAGATTTTTTATTTTTGTCTCCTAGAACAGGTAAAACGAAATGCATTTCAAATAACTGTGTGTTTAATAACTACGTGTCCTCGGCAATGATCTGACACAACTTCATGTTGGCATCCCGATTTTTGACCTTTTATTTACAAATCGATTTATCACACGTGCGTTTGAATCGCTCAGAGCAATATATGCACGAGAAATACGTCTAAGAGAAAAAAAAATGTCAAGGATAAAATAATTTTGGAGCGGCATATGCGGCCCAAAAATTGGCGGAAGCGGTAATTATTTTTTTTATTGAAAAGTCAATTTCTCCAAAACAGGAGCGGGAAAATCCAAAGAACTATTAATCAAATTGGTGTGGCCTAAGTAAAGAAAATAACACTTTCAAGTTTCAGGGTTAGTAAAAAAAATCATGTAAAAGTGGCGGAAGATACCAAAGGGATATCCAAACTGACACCGCCATGGAAAAAAACGAAAATGATTAAAAGGCAAACAACAGTCTACAAAACACAGCATAGAAAGCTCAAAACTGAGCAACGCGAACCCCACCAAAAAACCGGGGGTACCGATATGCAAGTGATGATATAATGATTTTATCACCAGAAATCAGTTATATTGATACATATCGTACCAAAAAGTTATTGAAAGCAAGCACAGAGTACTTAAAGATAAAAACACCTTAGTGCGGACGTACATATAAAAATAAGATGTGGTATGATTGCCAATGATACAACTCTCCGCAAGAGACAAAATGACACAGACATTAACAACTATAGGTCACCGTACGGCCTTCAACAATGAGCAAAGACCATACCGCATGGTCAGCTATAAAAGGGCCCGAAATGACAAATGTAAAACAATTCAAACGCGAAAACTTACGGCCTAATTTATGTACAAATAATCAACGAAAAACAAATATGTTACACAGCAACAAACGACAACCACTGAATTACAGGCTCCTGACTTGGGACAGGAACATACATAATGTGGCGGAGGTAAACATGTTTGCTGGCGCCAAACCCTCCCCCTCACCTGGGACAGTGGTTTAACAGTACAACATAAGAACAAACTATAAAAATCAGTTGAAAAAGGCTTAACTCATCAGATGGATACAAATACAATACATCTAACAAGAACACAGAGTGGACGTGTCAGGGTACTTATTCATCCCCACAACAAAAAGACACTAAGTACAGATCTGAGAGTACTCGCAGTTACTGACAGCTAGTTCAAAGCCAATAACAACTAATGAAAAAATCATACATCTAAGACTAAGATATCAATCAGTACACATCCAACATCCAATGAATTTAGTGTAAAGACGTCATTAACAGTCCGGGAAAACATGACCTTGTGCAATGCCAAGATACAGGTATCGACAGATTGTAAAGCCATGAATGTACATATGTATATAAAAATAATATTTAGTTTGATTGTAATTTACTGATAACAAAATCAATATTAATATACCAATAAAACAATATTCAAAGATCTAATTACAGTGTTGAATTGGTAACCTTTTAGAGTAAGTTTATTTAAAGGATCGATAAGTTTACCCTGATCGTTTCTAAATTTTCGGGCTCGGTAAACACCATCTCCGTAAAAATTAGGACGTGCTATCCCGTTTGAAATAAGTTTTCTACAAGTACAGACAAACTTCAAAACCAAATCTTTATATCTATGGAAGAATTTAGTAAAGGTTTTAAGTAATTTGTGTTAACGAAATCCCTGACTAAATAATTTACCAGTGATACATAGATTACGTTCATTGAAATCCAAAACGTCACAACAGACACATGCATAGCAAACGAGTTGTGATATATTAACACCTAAGATGGTGTCAAAGGAACATCACCGTCCAAAAAAGGAAAATTAACAAAATTAAAATCGTCCCATTTGTCGTAAATTTTAGTATAGAGTTTCCCATGTAAAACTGAAATATCAAAATCTAGAAAAGGAGAAGTTATTACCGTTTATATTTGATTTATTTAAAGTAAGTTCCTTTGGGTAAATTTCGGCAGTTTATTTAGAAAATTCTTGATGATTTAACGGAAAAATATCATCAAGATAACGGTAAGAGTTGTTGAGTTTATCAATTAAATGCCATTTTCTGAGTTTGGTCATAAACTGTGATTCATAACAGTACAAGAACAAGTCTGCTATTAAAGGGGTGCAATTGGTGCCCATAGGAATACCTACAACCTGTAGATAAACTTTATTGCCGAAACGTACATAAATATTATCAAGGAGAAAATTAACCGCTTCAATCATCTCATCACACCTCCAGTAAGTATATCTAGCATATTTACCTTTCTCACTAGAGAAGAAGGCTTTAAATGAGTTGCCGCAAATATATATGCATTCAGATTTACCAAACGACCATTTAATTAAATAAGAAAACTTTTGTTTGATAAGATTGTGTGGAAGTGTAGTGTAAAGAGTTAAAAAGTCAAAACTGTCAACAGAATCAAAAGGACCATCAAAAGCACGTAATTTATCTAAAACATCCAAAGAATTTGTTACACTCCAAAAATAGTAAATTCCACTATTTTCATATATTTTATTACACAAGTTAATGATAAGTTCTTTGATAGTAGTTAAGGAACTAGTTAATTACATAGTAAGGACCTTCAAATGTTCATATATATATATATATGCTTTACAATGAAGAAGTGATCTGTTTCCTGTTCCTGTAACATATCTATACTTTAACTTTAAGGTAGATTTACTAAATGATATGATGATTTATCTTTTGTTGTTTTATTATATATTTATCTGCTATTTAAAATGTGTAGTTATCCTATTTTTTTTATTATAGTTATACTTTTCTTCATGCAAAAGGACTAGTATATATGTAATAATGAAAGCCAGTTGGTGGATTTTACTTCTTTGTGGTAGGTAGAAAATAATAGTAAGCTCAGGGTAGACTGTCGTATAAAGATTGGAGGGTAAAAAGAAAAGGTATTTCGGGAGGTTATTTATCTAAAAAGACAAAATGCGAAAAAGAAAAACAATCGAGCAATTTATTTCAATCCTATGTAAACGTAACAAAAAACGAAACTGCAAATAAACATACATTTATGTGCGCATGTGTATTCTCTCTATCAGATCAATACATTACAATACAATATTGCTAATATAATATTTTCATTATCATATTTAAGCGGTTTATCAATTAATAGATATCACAAGTTGGCCACATGCTTCTATCTTAACTCGGTAATCCATTTTTAAACTAAGGTACTACAGGAGAAGAAAATGTTAAGACAGCAATCTCAGACCTCAATTTATCGGTATAGATTCTTTATTATCGAACTTTTTATAACTTGTTATACAAAAGAACTTTTGATTTATTAAAGAATCTTTATTTTTTTTATTTATAAGGAGAGATAACCGAGTTTACTTTTTTATGAAGGTAAAAACAATATAATTATATAAAAATAAGATGTGGTATGATTGCCAATGAGACAACTAGTACTCTCAACCAGACATCATTTCATTTGGTTGAATTCATTAGAAAAATTGTTAACACCTATATCTTTACGTTTAAGAGAAAACTAACGGCCTGATTTATGTACAAAACAATAAAAGAAAAACATATACGATATACAGAAACAAACGACAACCACTGAATTATTGACTCCTGACTTGGGACAGGAACACACATAATATGGCGGGGTTAAACATGTTTGCTGGCGCCAAACCCTCCCCTTACCTGGGACAGTGCAACATAAGAACAAACTATAAAAATCAGTTGAAAAGTGCTTTACTAATTAGATCGACACAAATACAAATATTGAAACTCCAATAATCGTAAGACGCAATACAAACAATCGTGAGACAATATCGTGAAATTTCAACCCACAATCAACATTAAATTGTGCAGTATACTAATGCAAAAGCAGTAAGAAGCAGGCAAAACTCATAAAAGGAAACATTTGCCGTATAAAAGTACCAGAATTATACAAAAGTATTCAGCCTTGGAGATTAATGTTTGTGTCTTAAGTTACAAATTTAATTATGTTGTCTGTAAAGGGTTTTGTGTTTGAATTGCATACTTTTTAAAATGTGCTATCGCATGACTTTAAATGGCTTAAACTCCGCCTGTGTGAACTGCCGGTTACAAGCAGAAAAGGGAAGAGGGAAGTCAGTTTTTCTTAAATAAATTGACGAAATTGCTTACTTTATTTTTGGCACAAATGATATTAGGTATTTTGAAAACAAGTGACACAAACGTAGCATTGGGGCAAAGGAGTTGTTGCAAAAAAGACGTACATTTGGCGCAAACGGATTTCTGCCGGTGATGGAGAAGGGTAAAATAAACATGGGACAAACAATAGCTGGTACTGGAAGGGAGTATAATAAAACTGTAGCATTAATACAAGATAATGTTTGATGCTCTGGAAGTAAACATATTCCACCAGTATATTTCTCTGTATTAAAAACCGCTACGAATTAGCGTTCTTCCTTTCTTTGTCAATAAAAATATGTCTACAACAGATTTGTATATAGAATATCCCTCTTCAAACCCTTTTTTCACAGATCTGTAAAAGTTTTCTTTGCATTTTGCTTGTTAATATGGATCGATTCCTTCTTGAAAATATACCATAAGCTGGTATATAATATAAAGGCATTTATTATTCTTCATTTTTTTATGAATTAAAAAGAGTACCACTAAGTCTACGCTATGATTGTCGTTATCTTGCTATAAGAGTTTTGTTAATTCATCACTGAAGACTTTCATCTATTATAAGTTGAAAAAGCATAGCCCAATTCCTTTGATATATCAACTATCTCCTTGTTTTGCATACATTTGTCCATTTTCGGTTCTGTTTAAAATAACATGAGATGACGGGGAAAGAAGCAATATGGGATAACTGTACTGGAACCAGCAATCACTTGATATACTCACAAATGACCATCTATAAAAATGGCCATTGTTATCTTATAGTTCATTTCTGTGTGTGTCACATTTTAATGTTGTGTTTCTGTTGTGTCGTAGTTCTCCTCTTATATTTGATGTGTTTCCCTCAGTTTTAGTTTGTAACCCGGATTTGTTTTTTTTTGTCTCAATCGATTTATGAATTTCGAACAGCGGTATACTACTGTTGCCTTTATTTAGCAATCTTGTTTAAATAATTCACTTTTTTTCCCTCCTTTTTTTCTTTTTTTTTTTTTGGGGGGGGGGGGGCAATCTTTAATAGAGAAAACGCCTGTCCACATCTTTAACTCACTTTTTCCAAGTTCAACTAAAGCTTTGCAGATGACGTCTGATATTCGTCGATAATTGGCCGAGATGTCTAAGTAGTCGAACTACTATATCATTAGCCTGTCAACACTGAGGTTGTGATTTCGAATCTCGCACGTGGGAGGTGCGCTTGACTCCAATCTTAATTGACTAGAACTGTCAGTTTTCCTACCGAAAGTCAGTGGTTCTCTCCGTGCACTCCGGCTTTCCCCACCAATATAAACTGATCGTCACAAAATAATTATAATTACTACATATGGTACCGAGGAAAAATACAAAAACTAATGACACGAAGGCATTACATAAATTACCGGAGGTAACTGGTGATTTTCTCTCGCACAAACTGTTTTTTTTGTTATTCAATAACAGACGTAATTATGTTATGGGCGTCATGAAGAATCACAGGCCATATTTCATTTAAGTTGTCTGAATGCATTAATTTAACCTAGAAATATCAATAATTTGACACCTCCATTTTCTTCGTTTTTTTATGACGTACAAATCGATGAAAATTAAGCTGGACTCCAAACCATGCACCCCTTTTCCCATGTAAAACTTCCTACAATATCCTTTTAATGAAATATGAAGCTGCGCCGTTAATATACATCACTGTGTCTAATACGTCGGGACTTAGTCAACTGTTTTTGCTCATTTGTCCTAAATCACGAATTTTATTAATGTTTATGCAGACTACACCCACCAAGGAAGGAACGTGTGCCCTACAAGCAAGAATATTGCAGTTCTTACTATAGATGGAAGGTCCATAACAATGAAATTTTAAGATCAAACAATATAACAAGATTCTGTGTAAAGACCCTTCATTTTTCTTTCTTTATGACTTGGTAATCACGCGCACTTCACCTACAAGACATACAGCTGTTGTGATTTGTGAATTTCTTACATGGAAGTATCCGAAGAAAGTATATATGTAGGACTCTAAAGTGCGATGGGGACGCTAAAGTACGATGGTCACGCTTAAGTGCGATGGTCTACGCTAAAGTGCGATTCCTCTTTACGCTAAAGTCCGATGGTCCGCGAAAGTATAGACGTAAGAAACGTAGTTGAATTATGACGTTAACAGTCGTTTATATAAACCAAATATGAACATGCCGGAAGATAAATTAAGAATATTTGATTTACAACTTTTAAACCAAATGTCCATGACTTAATTAATTTAAACCTAACCGTGCTTTGTCGGCTGAAGCAAATGTGTTTTTTTTTCGGGTGCTGGAAGAAGGACTTGTATCCTGCAGTCGACCATTTTCCTGTATAGATAAATAGAGAATATCATATGGCTTTTTCAATATCACATCCGTATCAACCCGAGACACCAATATAATCCCAAGAGCTCTGCTCGAGGGATTGTATTAGTTGAGGGTTGATACGGTGTGTGATATTGAAAAAGACATATCATATACACTTTATTATATACATGTACCTCACGTAGATGTTTTTATGTGACATGACGTCATACAGATAAGGAGATTTGAAATGACGTCATTCAGGTTAGGGGTTTGATAAAGCCTTTCTCAATTTTATTTGCAATAGTGACTGCAATCGATGACGTTACGTCATACAGATTAAAGGTGTGATAAAGCCTTTGCAACCGTGCTGATATCGATATCATCACGGGTGGCTGATACAGCACGCTTGCCAATGACTGTTTTATACATACAATTTATCTGTATTTACTACTAAGTATATAATAAAAAATAGTATACGCATAAGTATCCTGTATCCTGATTCTATTGGAAGCGAACGGATACATTCAAATCATTGTTTATGTAACTTGCAGTTTACTTTGCGGTCCCCGTTAAAATATTGTCGATTTTATTGAAAAGTAACGTCGGTAAAATTAAAGGTACATGTTTTCATGCGTAAATTATAAGTTGTCGGCTAAAACATTAGTTTGTACATTGCAGGAAAATATATAACCCGAATAATTCAGTCCCCCCCCCCCCCCCCCCGTAATCGATCTCTCCTACTTGCGAGTAATGGAGTAATCGTAGATCAGCGGAATATAACGACTGAATTATTCGGGTTAGAAAATATAACATGTATTTGTACTCGCTACGAAAAAGGAGAAAGCTCGGAGAACATTGCCTTTCTCTCTCATTTAAATTAAACCTTAAACAAATAAATGTTACATATTCCGACAATGAATGAATTTTGTATTTGTAAAATTTTTACAATGACGAATGTAAGGGAGGTGTTCACATTAGTGATAGACTGTGTGAACGGCAAACTACACCAATTATTCAAATATTTAATACGCCCGAATTTTAAAAAAATCATTTGCAGGAAATATAGTATTTGGTGACACCTAAATTACCTTTTTAGCAATTATTATGTGGTCTGTCTTCTAAATTTAGAAACAATCGCTTAAGCCTACCGGTAAATTATAAAGCCTATCACATATGTTATACCTTAGCATACTACCTTTGCAAACAGACTATTTTTAATATCCATGTACTTTTACGTTTTAAGCCCTCTAACCTTACTCTTTTTGTCCATCGCACTTTATCGTGATATACCATCGTACTTAAGCAAACAAACAACCATCGCACTTTAGCGTGAGACACCATCATACTTTAGCGTAGACCATCGCACTTTAGCGTGACCATTGCACTTTAGAGTACCATCGCACTTTAGAGCCCTACAATAACATATATATAAGATGGAAAGGAACAGAGAAATCTTCGTGTGGAGACGGAACAAGTTTCGTCAGTCTACCAATACACAACAATTTACTTTCTTGGTTTTTTACACAACAAAGCTCCGTTCCCTCAAGATTCACCAGGAACCATATACATAGCAGGGGATTTACAGCATTGTCTATGACCTTTATTTTAAATACTTTACTTATATATACTAAGCTTTGACTTGCATCATTTAAGAACTTGCTTCCGCATTCTTTTTATTTAAAATTTGTCTGTTTGACGATTAGATAAAACTCATTGTTGGTATTTGTGTTTTATCTGTATACCAGTTGTGGTTAAATGTATTATTCAAATACGGATTTCCATATTCAACAGTTCCTTATTTTTCGTCTTGCAGTGTTGTGTACAAGGGATATATTGCAAAATATAATATGTAATGCTTGAACTTAAATGTTTATTAACTCTCGACTTTCATATAATGAAATGAAAACTTCCTTGAAGGTTTCTATGACCTTGGTGCATGTTGATAGATGACTTTGTATTTGTTTTGATTTTCAAATTAAAATAAACGTTACCTTATCTTTTCAGTTGTTGTACATGTGAGAAAAGTATGTACACTAACAGATATACTTCCTAGCAGCACAGGTATTGTTCCTACACCAACAGAACAAACAATGGCAGATTTATCATTTAATAATAGCTCAATTGCATATCAGACACAATCTATTTTAAGTAATGACTTTTCAACTTTGAAAACACAGATATTTTCACCTGGTATAAATGTAACATCGTCCAGTATTGTAGCTGATGATATAACATTGACTTCCGTCGTGTCCATTTTGTCTGGTTCTTCTGTTTCTTCATTTCTGACTCTTACAAACAGTGAAGGACCAAGTAACGCAGAATCGACAAGAAGTTTTGATAGTAATCAACTATCGGTAGATACAGTTAAAACTGGATTATCTTTTATATCAAGTAGTACTGTAACATTTGATTTCACATTTTCGGAATCAGTAAAGAGCACGGACAAGATAAGCAGCAAAGTTTTCAGTAGTGTGTATAAAATATCTTCCCAATTTGACTTATTACAGTCAAATAATTCATCGACTAGCTTGACGACAGACGCTGACCAGAACGTTCCTACAACCACAGAGACAGTGCTGTCAACCCTACCTGAACCAACACATGACATTGAGATAACAAAGACTTTTGGTAAAGGAAGTAGTAATTATAGCAGTGCAGATAATTCAACACCTTTAAACTTTCATTTATCAACCACGAGTATGGCGGAAATGTCTGCATTAAGTAATTATTCCTTTACCACACCTGACCAGGCAAGTAGTGTTTCTAAAATAAGTAGTTCGTTTACCGACAGTATCTTATCAACACAATTAACGTCTAATCAATCATTTAATTCATCGGAAACTCTTACATTGAAAACCACCGAAGTCTTTTCAAGTTCAAGTTCTGATGGAGGACTAAGCTCTGCGCCTCTGTCCACATTAATTGCGACTAGCATGGACAAAATAGAACTCAATGCAAGTTCGTCAGTTGTAATGGATAAAACAACAGCTTTAGCTTATTCGTCAAGTGAAATATATAGTTCAACTTTAAATGAAATACAATCGGATCAGATAACACCGAGATCTGACTTAGTTTTATCTTCATTTTCAAGTACTTACGATTCACCTGTAATTTCAACACTGAAAAACAATTTGAGTACATCTTCATATGAAACATTTATTCACAAGAGTGAACAATCATATACATTTTCAAGTACAATTATAAGATCAAATACCGATGGAATCAAAAGGACTATTTCCTCATCTTCGGGTTCGATAGTCCCTACCACGCCTCATGATACAGGTGCTACTTCCGCATTCAGTAAAATGCCATCATTTACAACCACCACCCTGCTTGATTCACGACCTGCAGAACTACAGACACAGATAGACGGTAAGCGGATTAATTTATGTACAAATTGTCTATAAAAAGGTGTAGTATAAGGTTCGTGTAATTTCATGGTCTTATGATGTGTGTAAACATTTGTAAATGTCAAATATGTTATGTTTAAATAATTATGTAGTTCGTATAGGATAGATTGTATGCTACCTGTGAAATTAAATACATTTAAAACGATTTAAAGGTTTAAACCGTATCTTAACTTAGTGAAATGACATCTACCTGGTTATGATTTTTTAAGGATAATAATTGAATTAAGAGTGAATTAACTTTTGGTATTCTACCAAATTTTTTGGTATTCTACCAAAACCTTAATCCAGTATTACAGGAACGTTTCAATATTGTCGTTCATTTGATCACAGGCACTTGTTTCTGAAAAAAATTGCACTTGTGTACGCCAGACAGTGGGAAATCTAGTGACAAAATATTACCTTCCCGTAAACCATGAAACTAGACCTTCTCAATGTTTGTCCCATTTTAGCAAGGACGCTATCAATTATGGATTCACGGGAAAACGTTCTGGTAAATAGTAAAAATAGATATAAGTTGAAATAAAAACAAAACTTCCATTTAATGTTATTATTTCCCTCCTTATGTAGCAAATGACGAGTACAGCAGGCTATAGAAGCTTGATGTAAAATTGGTTTAAAATGTTGCTATGCGAATTAAGGTTCATGTGGACCCTTCGTCTAAAATGGCTGCAGACACAGACAAACCTGTGCATCTGGAAAAGTTTTAAAGCATAGCATGCCCTAGATAAATAAAATTCAAATATATTTTATGTTTTAGAAAATTAAAAACTTTACCGGATTTTGCAGTGCACTTTTTTCCATTCCACCAGAAGGTGCCAAAATAAACAAAGTTGGGAAAGAGGTTTGAGAACTTCCCCACAGGTAATAATTGAAGTGAACTGTTTTGATTGACATGGACAATAGATGGACAATAGATACCTGACAATAATTGGTGATTTAAACTGTGTACCTGAGTGGACCATATCAAGTGAAACTCAACTGTTTGTTAATTTTATCATCTTCTGCAGGGACGAAAAAAAGTGCACTGCTAAATCCAGTTAAGTTTTAAATTTTCTAAAACATACAATGCATTAGAAGTTTATTTATCTAGGGCATGCTATGCCTTAAAACTTTTCCAGATACACAGGTTTGTCTGTCCTCAGAGTAAATTTTGAGGTGAACATGCAGCCATTTTAGCCAAAGGGTCCACATGAACCTTAATTCCTTGAGTACCAACTTCAATTTATTTTTCTACTGGCTGTATACCTCTCTGGAACATACTAATTATCCGTATATATATACAGCTAGATCAGAGAAAGTCAAGGAAAAAATTCCAAAGGACTCGATTGATATGCAGCAAAGATTGGCACTTTTGAAATTAAGTTACTAAGCAAATTCAAACGGACCTTATCTCGATGTAAACATTGAATGTGAATAGATCGAGAAGACCGCAAATACATGTACAAGACGACCTTTTCTTAAAATTAAATAAAAAATAGTAGAAAGTTACTTAATTTATAAGAAAAGTTATATTTAATTTCTTAACCTGCACACACAGAAATTTTTATATTCACGAAAAAACAATATTTCTCTATTGAATGTATATGTGACAAGAACAGACCGGTGTGCTCGATAACTTAGGTGTGAAAAAATAAGTATATTTTGGGAAATTGTAACATGCTAAGAACTTTGTGGAACACTCCCAAAATTGGTGACCCGAAAGATCATTTGATTTTGAATGTACATGATTTTTTCCAATTTTTTTTTATCAAAGGCATTTTTTTAAATTTCAGTTTCACAAGCTGCTGATACAATTATCTCGATAAATACTGAACATAAAAAATCGTGTATTTGCATGTATATGTCTAATAACACAGTTTAACAAATAATTTCTTTAAAATGCACAATTAATATTTAGAAACAAGTTGCTTTCTTTAAAAAAAGAAATGCAATTGTGAACCTAAATGCATGTTTTGAATGAAAGATCAGATGATTGTTTTATAAAGATGCATGATTTCGCCTCATTTCTTTTTTATATAAGATGTAGATAAACTGACATGGAATCTTAATGAAACTGATGTCATGCTTTTTTTCCCTTATTTGTATTTTGATACAAATGTAGAGCCTTAATAAAAATGATATAAATAGAAATTCATTATCTTATCTCTGACTGTATCTATCATCACTCAGTCCCTATAAAAGACAATCGCTATGTTATCTCTGACCCTGAATTAGCATTTCACTCCTGCTATTGCATAATTTATGCATAATCAACTTTTCTATTATCCGTCATTTCATACATCAAGTCCTAAAATTTAATTATTCTTTCAGAATCATCATCATACCGCTAAAAATATTTGATAAGTTAAATGTTTATTAAGAAATGAAATGTTTCGTTGTAGCATCTCATAACTGCATTTTACACATCTCAACGATTCTTTAAGGTTCAGTTTGTTTTTCTTTTAATTTGTTTTCTTTTTATTTCAATTTGTGTTTTGATAACAATAAAAAAAAATTGTTGTTCCAATATTTTACCAATTAAATAATATGATTATAATAATTCCATTTTTGCTATTTTGATTAAAATAAGAACAATTTTTAAAAACCATTTAATTACTGCATACACGGACTTTTTAGCTCACCGGGGCCCGAAGGGCCCCATGTGAGCTTATGCCATCACTTGGCGTCCGTCGTCGTCGTCTGTCGACGTCTGTCTTCGTAAACTATTTCAAAAATCTTCTCCTCTGAAACTACTGGGCCAAATACCTTCAAACTTTAACTAAATGTTCCTTAGGGTATCTAGTTTATAAAATATATCCGAAGTTTTGATCCATCGACAAGCATGGCCGCCATGGCTAAAAATAGAACATAGAGGTCAAATGCAGTTTTTGGCTTATATCTCAAAAACTTTTAGAGCAAATCTGGCATGGGGTAAAATTGTTCAATTGGTCAAGATCTATCAGCTCTGAAATTTTCAGACGAATCGAACAACCCATTGTTGGGTTGCTGCCACCGAATTGGTAGTTTTAACAAAATTTTGCAGTTTTTTGTTATTATTTTGAATATTATTATAGATATATATAAACTGTAAGCAACAATAATGTTCAGCAAAGTAAGATCTACAAAAAACTTAATATGACCATAATTGTCAATTGACCCCTTAAGGAGTTATTGCCCTTTAAAGACAATTTTACACAATTTGTTCATCAAGTTTGCTAACATTTAAAAAATCTTCTCCTCTGAAACTACTGGGCTAATTACCTTCAAACTTTAACTAAATGTTCCTTAGGGTATCTTGTTTATAAATTGTATCCGAAGTTTGTATCCATTGACAAACATGGCCGCCATGGCTAAAAATAGAACATAAGGGTCAAATGCAGTTTTTGGCTTATATCTCAAAAACTAAATCTTTTAGAGCAAATGTGACATGAGGTAAAATTGTTTAATTGGTCAATATCTATATGCCCTGAAATTATCAGACGAATAGAACAACCCATTGTTGGGTTGCTGCCACCGAATTGATAGTTTTAACAAAATTTTGCAGTTTTTTGTTATTATTTTGAATAGTACTATAGATATATGTAAACTGTAAGCAGCAATAATGTTCAGCAAAGTAAGATCTACAAAAAAGTTAATATGACCAAAATTGTCAATTGACCCCTTAAGGAGTTAATGCCCTTTAAAGACAATTTTACACAATTTGTTCATCAAGTTTGCTAACATTTAAAAATCTTCTCCTCTGAAATACAGGTGAGCAATTCAGGCTCTTGAGAGCCTCTTGTTTAATTTCGCTAAAATGGCTCAGTTTTAAAATCTTTAAAACGCCTAACCATTGACGGTATTTTTTTCGCTTAAAATCTAACGTGAATGTTTACACAGTTTGTATTTCAGAAAAAATAATATATGCGACTATAATTTAATTAACTACTGATGTAAAATATCAATATCAGTCTCGATTCTCGATTAACACTTATCTCTATAGCAACTGTAAGACGCTAATACATATTTATTAGGTCAATTAATTACCTATTACGCATGTAACCACAGAAAAAAAACCCAGATATATTCCGAAAAGACAATAGGCATTTCCGGTATTCCGAAAGCCGACTGCAACATCAATTAATATATATGCGTGAACCCTCAGGGGTTCAGGCAATAACTTTTGACCAGTATCGTCACCGGCATTGTTTTATTATAAACTGGACCCCTGTTGTGTTCACTTATTGTTAATAAGCCTTCGGTGCGAGGCTATAGATGGAACGGCGGACCAGTTTATGTTTTATTATTGACTTTCTCGACTCTATCATAAAAAGAGTGGATTTTCTTTTGTTTTCGTTCACTAGATTTCCCACTGAGACGCTAGTTTCGTCTACTGACACTCGAATCGAAAAAGGGAAAAATACGAATTTGAAGGGTACTGAGGACCTAAAATTCTGAAAGGTTTTGCCAAATACAGCTACGGTGATCTATTCGTTTAAATGAATTTTAACACTTGAAATTTTCATGCGCCAGAAGCTCTTTTCTGGATTTAATTATATCAAGAACGCTCAAATCCTAATATTTGAAAACCAGGGATGTATAAGTACGTTTAAACGTTAGGATCTCTCTCTAAATATATATACATATAGAAATACAGCATAATCATTCGATCAAAATTATAAAATTCAAACCCGAAGTCTAAACCTGCGCCATCTGTATGTTCAAAATCATCAAAAGTGTATGGCACATAAAAAAATCATCTGGAATTTTTCAGACATTGAAAAGAATAGCAAAAAGGAGAGAAGGCAGGTATGATAGTCAATGAGACAACTATCCATAAGAGTACGGCCTTGAACAATGATCAAACTTATGCCGTATAATCAGCTATAAAAAGCCCCGACATGACAAAATGGGAAACAATTCAAACGCCAACACCTATGGCCTGGTTTATGAAAAAATAATCAACGAAAAACAAATGTGACAGACAGCAACCAACAATTAACAACTGATTTACAGGTTCCTGACTTGGGACAGGCATATAAAGAATGATGCAGGGTTTATATAAAATAGATGTAGTATGATTGCAAATAAGACAACTATCAGGCCACCAGAGTCCAAATGACGTGGATGTGAGCAGCTACAGGACATCGTATGTATACGGTCATCAACAATATGCATAACCCATACATTATTGTCAGCTAAAAAAAGGCCCGTGCATGACAAAATGAGAAACAATTCAAACGAGAAAACCAACGGCCTGGTTCATGACAAAACAATAAACGAAAAATAAATAAGATGGACAGCAACCAACGACAGGCTTAAACATGCTTACGAGCACAACCCCCCCCCCCCCCTTAACCTAAGACAGTGGTGTAACAGCACAACATCAGAACAAACTGTAAAAATCAGTTAAGAATGGCTTGACTCATTAGAATGGCACGAAGCACTAAAAATAACTTACTTTAATACAATAGACACAAAGTACCGATCTAAGAGTACTCGAAGTTACTGCGAACTTGCAACTCATACATAAATCATGTTCTCTCAAACTGTAAAGTATGTTTGTTAACCGCTCAATTTAAGGGGAAATAACTGAAAACGATCCACATGAAAACAATTGGAAACTGAGTGTAATAGTCTTGAATTGAAACATACACTTTCAATACCTCTTGTTGTATACAATAATTTCATATTAAAATCATAAGAATCTCTGGATTCTGTGGCAGTGTATTCATATATCCTATGGCAGTGTATTCATATATCCTATGGCTGTGTATTTGTATATCACACACCTAAAGTTCGAACAAAACCAGCGACATTCTTCTAATTTTCCCATCTGGTGCCAATATAACACCGGGGAAAGCCCCAATTGCAAACAAATAGACAACAAAAAGAAATATAAATAGGTTGACCGTATTAGATGTTGACATTTTTTTAAATATTCCTCGAGGTTTGGTATTTTTGGTATTTCGGATTCTTGCTCATATTATCATGTTGATGGTACTCTAATCAGTTTCCCTTAATGACGACTAAAAATTTTCTCCTTCATTATAGTGCTAATGTAAACTTGTATCACTCAAATTTAAAGAACATAATGACGTTCATATTCTCTTTTACGATTTGTCGCCATTTTTACATCTGGTTACTGATAACAGAAATAATTATTGATGATGTTTTTTTATTGTAATTGTATTTTCCCCTTAGTTGATTGTTGTAAATTTTTAGAAGAACATTTTTATGTGTACTATATCTTTACTTCATTACAGTCTGAAGAATGATCAGGAAGGACTATGAGGGTCTGGATGGGGGGTTCCTTAATTTCTGTATTCTTTAATTCTGAAGTCATTCTTCTTTATTCTTTATTTTGTTTCCCTATTATTCTCTATTCTTTATATTTTAGAACCCCTATTATTCTCTATTCTTTATATTTTAGAACCCCTATTATTCTCTATTCTTTATATTTTAGAACCCCTATTATTCTCTATTCTTTATATTTTAGAACCCCTATTATTCTCTATTCTTTATATTTTAGCACCGTTTTATTCTCTTTTCTTTATTTTTTCACCCTATTTTTCTTTATTCTTGAATTTTGGTCCATTTTCTGTATATTTGGCCGGCCTTTTATTCTCTATTCTGTAAACCCCATCCAAACTATTGGCTATTAACTTGATGTTATGAATATTGCACAACATACTCCAATACGATTTATAGAAATAAAGATGAATTGTAAACTACTATAGTATATCCGAGCCATTATACATATTGTATACTGTGTTATAATCCTAGATTAGGACGACGAGAAAGGCAAAACCCGACTAAACGAGAGGCTAAAGGCTAGGGCACTGGTCACTGTAAAGACAGTATTCCAGTTGATATAACAACAGCTTGAGCTCGAATTCCTTTGTGGAAAATGCAGTTTTTAAATTGTTTCCCCGCCTGCGACGAAAATCGGTGAAGCAAGACTTAAGCCCGGTTGTCACTATCAAAGTCAAAGTTTTCTTTGACCAGATAAACGTGGTCCAAGTCATATGTTTTGATCAAAGTTTTCTTTGACGGTTTTCATTGTGAAAAAAAAAAATCCTTCAAAAACTTTGACCAAGAAAACCTGTACAAGAACACTTTGATAGTGACAACGGGCCTTTAGGCATGCTGTGTCGGCGGCGTCAACTATTATTAAAGTTTTTGATTCTGTCACATATCTCAGTGTTAACAGTATATTGGTCTGAATTGAAGACATGAATTATACGTGGTAGGTAGTGACTTTTAACTGTGAGCAACAGAAAAACAAATAGATAAAAATATTTCATAAACTTGAATTACAAGTTATCATTTGTTGCAATCAAGCATTGAAACAGACTTTCTACACGTGTTCAGAGTAATTATGTATTTACAATATGTTTCATACCTTCTCGCTTTTAATTAATATCCACAGAAAAGGGGAACAGTACTTTAAGCCATAATTAACTTTCACACCACTAGCTTTATTTACCAAACTAATAAACATGGTATATAATTGTAATTCACCTTTTTTTTCAGTTTAGAATTAAATGCTTCTTTTTGTAATTCTATTGAGGTGAAAAAGCGTTGATCGAAGCACTTTTTGCTTTTTGTATGAAGCGAGGAAGCGTTCATTCATAGATGTTACATATTATACGGAAATAAAATATATAACATTTGGAAATTCTCGGCCAATCGTATCTACGGAATCGTATGAAATTTCTGTGTCATGTTATTATTATATCGTAAGAAATGGAAATATTACTTGTCAAATAGTCATACAATGGTTTGTACATACGTCTTTTATTTTGATAACCCTACGATCTATTTTCTTTATCGGATAATATATATATTCAGAACATCTTAATTAAAGTCCACGACCGTTCTATGGATCGTTATCTGAAAATTCGAAGATCCCTGTTATTTTTTAGGGTACCTATACTACTTGAAACGTACGTCAAACGTTTTTCATCTCGGCTTCTAGTAAGTTTTCTTCAACTAATCCTTCTGTCTTTTTAACTATATAGTTCCATTACTACAATTTAAGGACTTTTGCAATAAAGCATATGAAAAAAAAATTGAATTAATTATAGTTGGTAATTATTTTTCAGGTGTAAAAATTCTCTGGATGTTTTAGATAAATCAAGTTCTTTTGAATGACTTTTCGACTCCCCACACTACACTTTCGCACAATATTATCAAACAGATCCTTTTTTAATGAAATTGTACTTTGAAAAATCTAATTGCAAATTTATTGATTTATTTGATGCAACTCATATAATCCTTCTTCTGTAATGAAAACGGTAAATATACTGTATACTTACTGGAAGTGTCATGAGATGATTAAAGCTATAAATTTTCTCCTTGACAACTTCTGTACATGTACGTTTCGGCATTTAAGTTTATCGACCGGAAGTATGTATTCCTGTGGGCACTAAATGTGCTTCTTGACTTTCATAGCAGACTTGTCCCTGTTTTGTTATGAATCACAGGTTGTGGCTACACCCAATTTAGATCCGTCTTAATTCCTTTAATAGACAAAATTGATAACACTTTCCGTTGCCTTAATGGTATTTTGCTTTTAATTACACCTTATGTAAGAATCCTGGGTTCTGATTGGTTGATAGCCAGTGTATTTTTCACCAATTTACTTTTATCAAATGAATATCGTTCATTTTTAAACAGCGCCGGGGTATATGCAAAAGGATATGCCTTTTTTATCCTCTCTGCCGTGGTATTTGCCAAAAAATACTCTATCCGACTGGACGCTTGTAATGTCACGATCATCAATGCGTTTTATGTCACGATCATAAATGCGTTTTGTACGTAAACATTCGGTGTAATTAAACAGATATAGCATGTTCTTGAGGGGTATTTGCGAAAAATACCAGTCTTGAGAATGAATTTCCCTCGCCTTACGGCTCGCGAAATTTAACATTCTCTCGACTGGTATTTTTCGCAAATACCCCTCCTTAACATGATATATCTGTTCAAAATAATAATCAAAATTTATTTAACTAAACAACAGAAGCGATTTTTCAATCCTAATGTCTAGTTTTTTGTTCTGGCGGTGTGTACATTTCCCAAATCGTTCGTTGTGCACGTGTCTGTGGTGGCGTTTTAGATTTCAATGAACATATTATATGTATTACTTTACTGGTAGGTTATTAAGTCAGGAATATCGTTACCTAAAATTACATGATATGTTCACCAAATTTTTCATAGATACAAAGATTCGGTATGGAAGATGGCTGTACCTGTAGAAAACTTTTTAAAAAAAAATGGATATCGTAATTTTTACGGTGATGTTGTTTATATAGCCCGTAAATTTTGATCAGTGTATACCTATTTATCCTTGGAATACAATTCCCAATTTAACATTGTCGTAAGATCTACAAACACGAACAAACAAATGAAAAAAAAATACCCTTCCCTTAGTTTTGGCAACTTTTTTTACAAAAGAAACCTAATTTGTTAGCATCCTGTATTGCTACAGGATTAATAATTTGTTTTAGTTTAACTTCAGTAATTATCGATGTTATATGATATTGTTTCAATGAAAAAATATTCTCTTAATTATTTATGTACGGTGCATTAAAAAAGAAATGGAATTCAGCTGCTAAGACTACAAACTCGGACGAAATTTTCGTTTCAAAGTTGTACCGTATTTGCTGATTTTGCCGAAAAACTTTTATTAAGTTTATAATTTGTCTTAATTTCTGTTCAAACAGGAATTGTACAGTGTGTGCTGAAAACATATTCTTAACTGCTTCATTATGGCCATCTTAAATACTCCATTGAAAAATATTGGTAATCAAATTTTTTTCGCTACAAAATTAAAATGCTCAAACTTGTTCTAGTCCTTCATAGTTATGTAGTATTTGCGGTTTGGAGCTCCGGTTGCACTATTGTCGCTTGTATTATGTTGAAATACCTATATACGATTATAATCTATTGTTTCTTTGCAGATCTAAATCAGACAGTTAATGGATACAAAATCGCTGTGGTGGTACTTGCACTGATAATAGTACTTTTGATAACATTAATTGTTCTGTATATCATTAGACGCAGGTAAGTCTCAGTTATCGTTTCATGTGCATAGAACCCAATTCAAATTACTACATTTTAATCATCACTTTTCATTTTACTAACCATTCCAAAACGAAACACAATCATCACTCAATATCATTTCCTGATGTTTTGGAAAAAATAATCGAAATTTTTTTTTGGACCATTTTATGCAGAAAATGATAACTTTTTTCGGGCATTTTCCCGGTATGCCATGCTTATGAAATTCACATCACATTCACGCCCAAACTCCTATTTTGTGAATACTTGTGGACTTTATAGTGATTCGACAAGGGAGGAGGCTATGGACCGCTCAAAGTCCCCAGCTGGTCCAGGGTAACACCCTAGTCGGGGATCCAGGGCAGCACCGTAGACAGTGGTCCAGGGAAGCGAATCCCCATGAAGCTCCGGGCATATGAGTAATTACATTGACTGCTTTGAACATGAAAAATACCCTATCTGTTTCTTACTATACCATATTTTCATGAAACGATAGTAAAAGTCTAGTGAGTTCCGTAATTTGCTGCTTATATTATTAACATGGTTATTTTCAAATATAAAATATATTTTATAAAACGGGAAGATCAGGAAGAGTCGACAACCCAAGCGTTAATCAATGGACAATTGACAAACCCGGGAACAGATAAGACACAAAAGGAGAAACAAAAACATTCAACATTGAAAACTAAATACAGATGAAAAACACGGACCCAGAAAACAATGTGGCGACCTCCGGTGCTCCAAAAGGGTAAGCAGTTCCTGCTTCTTGCAAGACACCCGTAGTGTGTCTCACGAAGGTCATTCTCAAATCAAAGGAAAGGTTTCTACCACAACGGTAGGTCATTTGGGACACAGATACCCCAGGTGAATCAATAGTCTTTTGGACGAACGGACAATGGGAATACGAAATCTAACTGCAACTTTTAAGTCTTGACTTATAAGTAAGGGATATAAATCCAAGATGTTTTCAAGGTGATTGTATTGAGCCTGTATTATTAAATGTTAATACTGCATGTAAGACTTAAAGGATAGTTAATATCGAAAGTCCATATATCTATTGTTTGCCAAGGCAAATGAACTCTCTCGGTGTTGATATCAATTTCTTTGTGAACATGTATGAGCGCCAACGAAGATAGTCTGTCCTGTACCATGGTTGAACGGAGATAAGTTTTCGGTCGCCTTAATGCACTAAGTGACCGTTCAGTAGTTGATGTAGTTACTGGCATTGTAACTAGAATTGAGAAGATTGCGAATATTGAAGGATATATAGTTCCTTATCAGTCACTGCTACAGACGACATCAGAGATTTTGGCTTTAAACACCGCCCGACACGATAATATGTAAAGACTAAAGACTATCCGTAATTCAATTTCAGTATTATTTTTTTTGTGAAAAAAATGTGCAAGCAAATGATTTTTTGCGTAAAGGCAGCTACGCGCCTGTATGTAATGAGTGGTGTGGATGATTCTCGGGAATAGCTAGGTCACTATTTCAAGCTTCGTGCTATATGATTAGGTCGAGAAATTAAGAGGAAATAAGTGGAAAGGGTGATGATTGAATCATAGGTATCTGAAACTAATCAGATATTATTTTTTTCATAGAAGCGTTTAAAACCGCAGTCGTAAATTCATCAGATATTTGTCAAATCTAATTATCTCTCCATGAAATAGCTTAATCATGACAGCTATAGGTATATTCTGTAAAAAAAAATATATGATAGGATATATATTTTTGTTATACAAAATCTATATGAAAAGGGTGGGGTGTTGAATGTCTCAGTTGCTCACCCCTACTGCAAAAGGATTGAAGAGACCCCCCCCCCCCCCGAATTTTTACCTAACGTGTTCGCATGAATTTATAAGTAGCCATGGCATATAATATGGCCATATGTTTTCCCTTCGTGTTGAGAACTAATCATACTAATTGAATATTAACGAAACGAACCGTTGCGTTACAGTTTCAAAGTATGCTTCTGTAAACGTGACAATTTAGCATATACGCTTATGTTTTCAAATGTCAAAATTCTCTTCATATTTCATTATGCAATAACCTGCACAAAAATGTTTTCAATGCCTAAAAAACAACTGTTGTCTGAAAAGAGCTTAAATTTGACGTGTTACCCTCGGGTGGGGGAGTACTTACTATGTAATAAGTAGTGGGGATGAGTCTCTAGAATGGTCACTATTCCAAGCTTCGTGATGTGTGATAAGTTCGAGAAAATAAAGGAGAAATAAATGAAAAGGGTGATATATATATAATAGGGTACACATTATTTTGTTGTTCAAAATACACGAAAAAGGTGTGGTATTGGATATCTCAGTTACTCACCAATATTACAAAAGGATTGAAGTGCCCGCTCCTTTCCCCTAGTTTTTATCTAGCGCTCGCGTTTGTAAGTAGCCGAGGCGTATAATGAATATGGCTACATCTGTTCATAGCTAGTCAACAATCTGTCTGAATATTAACGAAACGAACAATTACGTTACAGTATAAAATGTGCTGTATAAATTATCTTAAAAAAGCTTGGTTGTTAGCCAGAATTTTTAATGAATGTTGTCAAATTTTATTGTGCATCACTTTTTTGGTATAAATTATTTGTGGTGTTTCAGGAGATATTATCAAAGAAAGCAGTTGATTACAAGAGGAATAATTGATGAGGATTTGTTGGGGAAAGATGGAACGGTAAGAGTGTATATAGTTTGGTCCTATCATCTACATTTAATTTGTTTCTACATTGACAAAACTTCAAATTTGAAATCATTTGCTTTTGATGAATAGAACGTTAAAACGTTTCTAAGCGATTGAACCGTCAAATTTAGGAATAAGAGGAAAGACTAGTAGGCCCGAAGTCAGAATGATGTATCCGGGTAGGGCAACATGCCTTGTGAACTAGCAGTAACTCCGCAAGTAAAAATATCGACTCAACTTGTCGGTCTAGTGCAAATTTTCGCAAATAAGGGACGTTGTGGTTGGTTTAACGCCTTCGGCCTCATCCCCTTTGGATGCTAGGGGGTCAGTTGCAAACTATATAACTTAAAAAGTGGTTCATATTCGTATCTCATTGATATATTCTCGTCCTGATATTCATGTAATATTTGCCCCTGGACGTTTAACTCCAAGCCACCAACAGTTTAATATTAGAAGTCAAAATTGCTGAAATTTTAAAATGAATAACATCAATTATAGTTGTCAAAAGGAAACTGTTACAGAATATTTCAATTGAAGTAATACGTCCAAAATACCCAATGTCATTTCAAAAACTGACTTTCACGATTATTTACAAATGGAGTATAACAAAAATGGAAGATTTTTTTATATTTTACTAAAATGTAGTTTATGATTTGCTACTTCCAAAATTTCATAAACTGTTTTAACTTTTGTCATAATGTACGTTGAAGTTTATAAAATATATGAAAACCTCAAAAGAACAGGAATCGATTCGTATTATTTTAGACAAAAAAACACCAAAAAAAAAACGATACTGCTTTCAAAGGACGTATGATAAGAACGAGATGTTGTCTTCTTGAAAGAATAATTACCAATATGCTTTACGTATTGCTAACTTAATCGAAATACATCACTATAGAAGTAAATTGTGATTTAGAAGCATTACTGTAAATAGAAGTTGCAAAATAAGGTCACAAAAGTGTAATAAATGAAATGATGAGAAGTGTATGGTTAGTTGATAAATGTATAGTGGGCACGTGTACAATAAGCGACCCAAAAACACACGCACTATTCAGTCTACTCCTATGCCACTGCCTATTTCAACTGAGGCTATCACCAACCGTCTGCTTTATATTTGTCAGTTGTCTTTTTTGGATAATGCAGAAGATTAGAAAACTAACCCAGTTCAAAATGGGTTTTGTTTATATTACAGAAGATAAGGCAGCATAACAGGCCGTATTTTGATACTTCACAGACAGGCGATTTACGTTTAAGTGGGAGAATGAGCACAGCTTCACTAGAAAATAGAGACAGTGAACCGCTAGGTTTGTTAGAATCATTTAACAGATCTAAGAACCAAACAGTACAAGAATCTACTACAGAAAATGGAGAGAACAAGAACAAAATTGATAATATAAAAGATGAAGAATTGTAATATTTCTAATATTTATCTCATGGAAAAACAGCTTTGAAAAGTACTGGTGTGTATGAAGAAGTTAACGAAAATGACTTAACGTACAATAGTCATGAACAATTTTAGCGTGCAAATATACGTTTACATCGTTTAATTATCGAAACATGTGTTTGTTTAATTGGAAGGAAAACTTCGTAGATTTTCTTGAAAGTCAAAATATTTGCTAGAAAGTTTCTATTGTTTTTCGTCTGCAGTCAAATTCCTCGACGCTTTCTGGATACTTCAGATGTTTATATGGAACAATTTACTACATTTGCATTAGAAAATGAATGAAAGTACTGTGTTTGAAGAGTTTCCACCGTCAAGTTGAGATATGACGTTCGCAAATATCCGTTTTACTGGCTCCGCTCCGTGTCAGCATGCAGTAAACTGGCATTACTTTACACAAATCAGCAAATTGACGTGGCAGCTCTTCCAACTCATTACTGTTATTTCTGAAATAGTAGTATATGATATGATATGATAAGCTTTATATAATATAAGTGCAATATATTGTTTTGATTTTATAAAGTATAATAGGTTGTTAGTCAATGGATATATGTGTGGTATCAATTCTTATAACATCATGTGATTGTTAATATTTGTACATTGAATGATTCGTTATATTTTAATACAAATGTATTTTTACATGTGTTTCCCTTCAAATTTTATATGTATAACATATTTTAAAAATAATAAAATTTAAATCAAAGGTCAGTGTTTACATGTCGTTTGCAATCGCTGCGTATTATGTATATGATTGATTGATCGAAAGATTGTGAGGATTTAACACAATTTAAAGCTCGCGGTCAGTTTGTATTAGGGAGGAAGCCGGAATGCCGGAGTGAACCCTTTGTGTATGAAACGGTATCCTCATCCATCTGTCATTCCCTTACAGGACAAACTAGTATGCGACGCTTTCAGTGTAACCAGATATGTACTGAAAATTCAATCAAGAGAAAATATTGAACAAATACTAAATATGAATTGGAAAACTACGTTGTCATTTTTGAAAACCTCCTTCCATCCTATCCCTAATTCTAAAGTATCTTCGCTGCACATGATTTCATAGTTGTATCCGATGCTACCAACGGCTGTAGATACTATAAAAAGAATAAAGAGGTAAAATAGTAAAAGTTGTATTTTATTATGGCTTAATCCTTTTTAAAATATTTAGTATATACTAGTAGCTATGTAAGTGATTACAAATGTCATGAGAGTTTCGTTACCAAATGACCTTTACTTTGCATAATTACGCCCCTCTGTAGATGTGTGCTTTCCTTCCTTCGTTGTCAATTGTCCTTGGAAGATACTGGACTTGTGTTTGATATATAATTGAACAAATGAGCACAAAAGACACATGTGACTCAATTCCTGACCACAAATTAACAAAAACGTTTCGTTATGTACATACATGTGTGCTATCCGTTTCCAAAACATGTTCTGCAATGAATAACTGAAAGTGCTTATTAGAATTGAAGGGTACAGATTACAATAATACTATTGGAAACTATAAATTAAACATTACACTGTCTTAAGAATAAGACGATCAATGCCACATTTGAGAGAATGATAGGCAAATATTTTAAATTGGAGATAGAATCGTAGTTGGTTCAACTATGGACAAAGGAAGATAACTCCAATGTTAAATATTACCTTTCACAATGATTGTTCTTTGTAGAAATGATAGATTATATATTAATGTATATATTTTATCAATAAATTTTATTAATAAATTTATTTATATGTACACAGACATGATGAAAAGAATGTTTGTCTCATGGCACAATAGTTCTGTACTTTCTAAAGTACTAATGAAATCTGGAAAGTATAACCGTCGAGCCAGTCCAATAAGGGTTTTGATTGCATGAATGCAATCTTTACACCAATAACAGGTGATTTGAATTTCTTTGCAACTTTTTAGCGAAAATAAACAGCCAACGAACAAACAAACAAACAAACTAACAAAATATGTACCAATACCAAGCTCAATAAGTTACAAATCATTCCATTTTTACATTTTTAATTTTTTAAAACATGTTTTATTCGCTGAAAACATAATAAAAAAGAAAGACAAAAGTTAAACTTGTATGTAATATCAATAAAATGAATATTATTGAATACTTTATCATATAATTCAAAACATAGACCTGTATTTAAAGAGACATACGACTAAACAAAAGAGGAGTGAAAGAAAAATGAGAAATTACCACTTAATCGTAGCAAAAGGACTTTACGAATACGGTAAGCAATGGATCTGTAATAAGTATACTAGTATTATGGAAGTTTACAGAGAATTACAAATCCATTTTTGCTCTTGTTCGAACGAATTAAGACTGCGGATTGGAATCGGATTACGTTTATTGTGTGAAGTCGTTGTTGTTCCATTGCCTGCATTAATGAATTTCAAATTGCAGATTAGTTTGATATTGTATTCGAAAATTTAAAATCGTTGTTCAAAAGGAATTTAAGTCTTGAGTTTAATACGATAGTTGTTATTCAGATGAGAGTATTACATGGGCTAAGGAAACTTTATTGCCTAATATCTTGTGGTTTGAAAATGTTCGTCGAAGATCGTGATATTTCGGTCGGCAGCGCACATGCTGATTCTACAGCCGTGTCGATTGCACAAATTCGACACATAATCTTCGTCTTAACCGATGGTTTTGTCGCCAAAATTGGAGTGAGTTGGAGATTGAACGAATAAAATACGAAAAATGCACGTCACTTGCAGATAGTCATTACAAAACAAATCACAATTTATCCGTATATGTTTTCTGCTTCACTGGATGCTCTTTGTAAAGACTTATTCCTATTTAAAAGATGATAAAAATAAGAATGGATATACAAGGCTAAGAATGGCTCTAGTTTCTTTTTTTTTTAATGAGTTTTCCTTCTTCTTTTTTTTAATCAGCATGAACCGACAAAATATGAAATCTACAAGTATTTAGCACGAGATATTTTTGTCGTGACGCAGGACAAACCGACGTGCTCAAAAACTTGTTCGTTGAAAACTAAATAAAAACACAACACACAACATATAATTACTATCGTATTGCTCTGTGATTTGCAAATTTTACTAACTGGTTAAAACGTCCCTAGGAATGCTGAAAGTATGAATCTATAGCTAACCGATGTCTTAAACAGAAGTCAACTCATCACAGGCACTTGTCTCAGAAAAAAATGTCCTATATACCTTAATATAACACAAGGTACTTAACTCGCATTTTTTAAAAATGTCACCCGGTGTAGGTAGACGAAATAATTACGGTTGACATACTTGGGTAGGCCTGCTACGGGTGATTCTTACAACAAAGGTAGGCGTGTTCTACACCATTGTGTAGATAAATCGATTTAGATTTACGGCATAACAAGTTCTAGTGGGGTTGACAACCGAGAAATCGGCAAATAACGGAACTTCGCGACCGGGTGACATTTTTAAAAAATGCGAGTTAAGTACCTTGTGTTATATTAAGGTATATAGGAAATTTTTTTCTGAGACAAGTGCCTGTGCAACTCATTGAATAAATTATCCCGAAATTTATCTTATGTTTTTTTTTAATTATATTACACTTATCAACTGAAAATCATTGAAACGTATGCATTGCCATTTGAAAAAAAAAATCTATATATAGGCTTTTCCCTCTTGCGAAGTATACAATTCACTCACTTAATCACCAGTAAGTACATTATGTCATCAGCTTGTTGTAAGGCGTGATTTCTTTCATAGTTAACGACCTTTTTTGTTGCTTAAAAATAGATTTTGGCGCTTCCTCAGATTTATTGCCAATAGCATACATAATACTAACACATTTCCATTATGTTCTATATTTTAAAACCACTTATTCATCGACACGTGACTGATGTGACATTAGATCAAAGATAAATTGATGATTTTGATTTTATTGTTTCCATATCAATCATCAATAATTCATATGTCTCTTGGCTGCTTATGCAACATGACTCACGGTGTACACTAACAGTATAGTTACGCACTGGAGCATTCATGATGCTGTGGTCTTGAATAGTAGAAAATAAATGCTTTTCTAGAAGAATAAAAAGTAGCATTTATTTCTCGTCTTTATCGATAAATATATATTTCAGCAAAGATTGATGAAATTGTCATTGAAATTCGCAAAATAATGTCGCGTACAGATTGCCATGATATACATACAAACAATTCACAAACTGGACATCAATCATTTCGTTGTAATATAACCTTCAGTACTGATCGAGAAAATTTATGGTTTTATTCAAAATCAATACAATATTAAAAATTCATATATTAAGCAATAAATTGGTAAGGTCATTATTTTATCATCGAAGGTTTAGATGCAATGCAATACCGACATTTGAATAGCTAAAAATTCTGTTAGTATCTAAATTACCATCAATTCTATTTGAATAAACGGACGGGTGCACGAAGAAACCTCGAGTCTCAACAAAACATTCAAACCGATTTGGAACTTCTGCATAGACGTTAATTTTTTGACAACCACTAATGAAATAATTAAAGATTCTAGCATTTCAAGTACCATCAATTCATTTGAAATAAACGAACGGGCGCTCTGGGTGTATTTCCTGCTTTTTAAAATTTTTAACCAAATATTCAAACCGATCTGAACCACCCGTTTAGACGTTGATATTTTGGCACCCCTTATGAAGTAATACTTATAATACTTCAATAAAGGTTGGCATCCGTCGTGTCGAAAGGATGCACTGATCCAGAGGCCCAGACTATACAATTTTAAACACCCAATCATATAATATTATCATTTAGCAATTGTAAAACTGTGTGAAAATATTTTAAACTAAATTATCTTTTAAACGGAACACAACAATCTGAATGGATATACTAATTAAACTTGTAATAATCTATAGTAATAGTAAATACTTATCAGTTTAAATTGTTGGATTAAGATCAAAGTTTTTAATCCACATGAAGTTGATTATCCCACACTATTTATCATGTAAATTAAAATTTAACTTCACAATTCTATTTGAATAACTTAACTTCTACAGTATAGCAACGACTGTTTATTAATGAATACATAAAGTATGCTAATTCTTACTTCAGATTATTAGATTAATTCAAATACAATTAAATCGCCCCGTCGTTAATACAATTTGTTGACATATTTTGAAATATTTATTGGCACTAATTAAATAACGGTAAACAAAAACGTGTGTTGCTTCTGGTAGGTAATATATCTATGATAATGTGGTAATTTTGTATAATTAGATCCATGCCGAGGAAACTATTGCCTGTGGATGTACACCATTGTTCGGAAGCAAGGATCTTCCCATATAAAACATCGCAATTCAAGATATTCGGAAACTCAGTTGAATTCAAGTTACTGGAACATAGATTTAGTGCGGAACAAAAACAAATTTTTGAAATATAGATCGAACAATTATTGTAAAATTTTAGACTAAATCTATTACAGACTTTTGTGTTATACTGGAAATCTACTTTGTGAAACCTACCTTTGGATTAAGTGTAATTTCACTGATGGATATAAAGATATAGAAATCATGGATATGCATTTAACTCCGTTTAAAAGAAGATATGTGGACAACTGGAGAAAAGAAGTAAACAAACATCTGCGGGCAGGTACAATGTGGAAAACACTGACCGACACACCATTATCAAATGTTGCACTTGATAATCAAATCAAAAGCAAGTTTGAAGTTTCTTCAAATGGAACAATATCTCATGAAATAGCGACCCAAACGTCCCCAGGAACAGTTAACAGTACAAAACAAACCAGTAATAAGCGGGTATGCTTTAAGTATTCACGACTTGATAATAATGTCGAACAGAGTAAAGGAACAGAGAAAATGCATGAAGGAATGCAGTCAAACTGTGCTCGCAAGATTAACCAGAAACCATCATATCAACGTAACGAAAAGAATCCCTGTGAAGACATTGAAGAGGAACACACTCCATTAGTTATCATTGATCCGCAGTTGATGACCCCGATGCGGAACTATGAAATAAATCCACAAGAGAGATCATCAAATAATCGCCCTAAGTCGATCGAAAGAAACATAAATAATCCATTCAAATTCACTTCAGTGCAAAACTCACGAGACATCAATCCCGAGAAGAAAAAGGAAGTATGGTCTATTCGGTGCCAAGTTCAGTCACGAGACAGGAATAGTTTTGTCGTTTCTCGTTCAAATTTATTCAAATATAATGATATAACCAATCATAGTTTTCTGAACTTACCATCTCGATTCCAAAATGACAAATACAATCAACAGCAAATAACATCGAAGCCGGAAGTTTCGTTGAATCAGCCCTCTCCGCGAAGAAACATTACTTCAATGTTTGCTGTACAAGCATGGTAACGCGCGTGAATGGCGTGAATGTTCTGTTTTTTTTTACTTCAATGTTTTCTCTACACGTATGGTAATGTGAACGTTCTGTTTTGTTACTTCAGTGTTCGCCATATAATACAAGCATGGTGATGTGAACGTTCTGTTTTGTTACTTCAGAGTTCGCCATATAATACAAGCATGGTGATGTGAACGTTCTGTTTTGTTACTTCAGTGTTCGACATATACAAGCATGGTGATGTGAACGTCCTGTAATTCTCATGAGCAATATTATACTTTTTGTGTTGGAAGACAGTTAAGCCGTAAGAAGAAGTATAAGACCTTTGCAATATCCATTGTTTTTGTACACTTACCTTCTTTTATCAGACTAATTCCTCACGACAAACCCGCAGCAAATATTGAATCATGTATAATTGTGGAACGAACATTCAAAATAAGTTATTATACATGTAGATAGTTTTTATATTGTGATGCTAGAAACAAAAATGTATTTCTATGTAGACAAAGTAACAGTCTGACTACAGAACTGAGACTACTACTAAAATAATTATAGAAACAGTACAGAGCCAATAAAGATAATTCTAGTTCCTTTAATTTAATATAAACTGAGATATAGTGGGCACGTTATGTGTTTATGGAATAATTTTTATCAGTTACACTGAAGCCAAATACAAAAAAATGCATAAAACCCATAAAAAGGAAATTTCAAAATTGCCAAAGGACTGCTTTGCCTGAGGGAATTTCAATCGCAGTTTAATATTTAATACCATATAATTTAAACTGAAGATTTAACAATCAAAATGTGTCATCAAGCTCTAGCTTATCGTCTCCATCCTCGATACTGGCATGAAAATACGGATTTTGTTTTATTGAAAAGAGTAGGGCCAGTTGTCCCTTGATTTGCCTTATGCTTAGCCAATATTTAAAAAGTCCTTTAATCTTTACTTGAGTTTAGAGTATCACAGCCTAATGTGTGTACTTCAAGTTTAAAGCAATATTATGGCTCATTTCAATTCAGATCATATAATTATGAACGCCAGAAGATAGCCCAAAACTGCAATTTTAATAGATTTCGGCAAATTTTGAATATTTATATCAAAAATACATAAGCAAATCGTTAACCAAAATCAAAATTATGTTGGAAGTAAAGCTATGTACTGTCATTAGGACACAAATTAATTTATTTTGGTTACCGATGTACTTCAATTCAAAATTTGACCAAAACATCCAAAACTTGCAATTTTGTACCAAAAAGCCTTCACCAGCAAAAGAGAGGCGAAAGATACCAAAGGGACATTTAAACTCATAAGTCGAAAATAAACTGACAACGCCATGGCAAAAAAAGAAAAAGACCAAAGGACAAATAACAGTATACAAAATACAACATAGAAAACTAAAGACTGAGCACCACGAACCCCACACAAAAAACAGAGGTGATCTCATGTGCTCTGGAAGGGTAATAAGATCCTGCACCACATGTGGCACCAGTCGTGTTGCTCATGCAAGTACAAACCCGGTGACAAGTCTAATTAGGTAGGTCACCTTCGAGTAAAAGAGGACGGAATTGTTACGATAATTGGAACATATCCGTCGTCTTATATATATATTCGATATGCAGGCGCTGCTGGAATGCTGCTACATAGAAATGGAAAGTTCACAATTGGGAAGCTAAAATCATCTCTTTTTTGTCATAAAGTTTTGGGTTTTTTTTGTTCATAAGAAACTCCTGTATGAAGTCAGCCTTGTGTGAATAAAGGAACAAGTCGTTAAGAATAGAAGCACAGTTGGTACCCATGGGAATGCCGATTGTTTGTTGGAAAACACGTCCTCTACACGTAACAAATATGTTGTCAATCAAGAAATCAAGCATCTTGATAATGTCAGTTTCAGAGAATTTTTTGTTTGAATCAGAGTGATATTTTACAAAGTACGATTTATCCCTCCCGAAGACAAGCTTCTTGTATCTACGTTTGACATCCTGTTTTATGAAACAAAGCAGGACCAACTCTTTTAATTTGTTAACATTCAGTACTGAAAGCATTAAGATTTAATGCAAAACTTTAAAATTGTTGCAAAATATTTAAAGTTTGTGATATAGGGTCTTTAATATTTTATTTCCAGTAGGATTTGAATGCCTTTAGATTTTGACCATGTGAGTGAAACAAATACAGGGGAAACTTTATAGTCATACGGCATTGCTGTTATAAAATTTTGGAAATCATTTTAAATAAAGGAATATATCTCCCTCATTAACTGCTCTAAATCCTTGTCCAGGTTTGGCTATACTTTGGTTCTTTTTGATTATATCATCTCTTCAACGTTTCTATAAGAATTTGGCTTCCTAATATTTGACCTCCAGCATCATCGAAGAGACATTTTAAATTACTGAAATGAGTATCTGGTGCAGTACATTTAGTACCGTTATCGTTATTTCTACTACTGGGACGATACTTATGCTGGTGAACTGTTAAGAAAATACAGATTTTCTTGTATTGAAATTCAGTGTTATAAAATTTTGGTAATCATTTAAAATCACTGAATTTATCTCCCTTGTGCATAGCTCTGCTTCTCGTCTGGGTTTATCAATACTTTCTGTCCTTTTCGATGGTATCAATTCTTCAAAGTTACTATTAGTATTTGGTTTTCAAATATTTCGCCTCGAGCATCAATGCATAGACATGTCGAAATGCCAATCTCGTGAAGTAAAATTGGTACTTTTAATGCTTTTCTGTATAAATGATAATCACCGGTACCAACATTTCAGCAAAATCGGTACAAGCCAAGTGATAACTAGAAGAATAATAAGAAGACTTTGTTCCGAATTAATGGACCGACAATAGACACTTGAGATTAACAATAAAAAATACAATTTATACAAAATTACAATACCACTAAGAAGAGGATTTTTCTTTTTTTTTCTTTGGGGAACGAAGGAGGGGGGTTTGGGGGCTACATATATAGTTAATGCATAGACGTTTTACAAGTCCTATTCCTTATATTGCCTTCCCCCAATTTGTTTTTAAATCCTGGATTCATAACAATAGATGTGCTATTTTTTTTTTGTAAATTGAAATTTTCTAAATATATCTATGACATTATAAATATATATTTTTTAATCTCAAATTGACAAAATAGGAAATATAACAGATGTTATCTATAGACATTATAATGATCAATAGATCACTAAATCTATGTACTCTATAACCATTCTTATTTTCGATAGATCTTCTTAATTCTTTAGTAGAATAAAAAACAAATGTATGTCAGATAACATCGACCTAGTTTTGCCAGAAAAGAGACCATAAAATTGCTTTATCATTATGACTGTCAAAGTTTTAGGTTTACATCTATTTATAGCTATTATCTACCTAAATAAACGATTTTGTTATGCAGGCGTCACACTGTCCCGAAATCGACACCAGATGGACACACGGTAATGGAAATGTTCAAATTCGGGTGTGATCGTTAAAACATCGAGCTATTCGCGGGGGCATCTTTAGCCATCGTATCACGGCCGGTTGAGTTTTCAGGCTATGGCAGCAACTTCGTGAGCGGTGGCAAAATCTTTGACATGCCAAAAAATTTCCGAAAGACCTTGCGAAGGTTCATTTTCGTGTTGAATTTGTATGTCCATTTTTGTTCTTCGTACGGCCATCGTGAGGGCATCTTAACAAATCGTGTCACCTTCGTCTTTACTTCGTGTGATCATCTGTGCCATCGAGCATTTTCGCCTCACGAAGACTATACGAAGGAAACAAGAAGTTGCCCGATTGTCTTACGAAGGTCACACGACTACGTGAAGCCCTCGCAATGCCGTCGTGTAGCCACCTTATTATAGTACGATGACATTGAGATAGGACCCCGTTGTCGGTCGGCGAAGACAGCTAAATTTGAGTAGCTCTAGCCTTTCACATGTTTCATGGTAACGTGGACATATAAAAGGCCAGCAGCTTCAGAGCATCTTCCTCAGACAGCCCTGAGCAACTCTACAGAACAGAGGCGTGTGTAACTCCCAATGCTTCAACCACAGTTATTGACAATTCAGTTACTGCAGTTATTTTTATGAGACAATCAGGAAAAAGAAGGCAGCATATCTTTGTCATATATTGATATTTGCCTTTCTTATATTCGACAATGTCCTTATCTTGTTTTGCTTTTTATTTTCCAGTGCAGGGACAAATTGAGGCGAAGGTGGAAACTGAGGTCTATGTGGGTCAGAAAATGGCTGTCTGACAGAAGAAGAGAATTCTATGGCCACTATAGCACCCTATTAAAGGAGCTGAAGATAGAAAATAAGAAAGACTTCTAAAATATACACAAGACTTCCAAGAGGCGTCTACGATGAGGTCTTGCGAAGAGTATAATGCAGAATAGATAAGAAGGACACATGGTACAGACAGTTTCTCTCTCCTCGTCTCAAGCTGTCCATCACTCGACGACACCTGCATGGCCTGCGGTGATAATTATCCAAGCCTGCATGTCCTTCATCTTCAAAATTGCTCCAAACACCATCTCCCTTATCATCGATAATGTCTGCGATTCCACCAAAGCCGAGTTTGCTGTTGAGGTAATCCAGTGTTCCACTACAAATGAGGAGTGGGCCGCCATTGAAGAGCAGTTTGGGAAAAAACGGAAATTTCCACACTATTGTGGTGCTCTGGATGGCAAGCATGTTTCGGTCACCTGTCCTTGGAATACTGGCTCTGTGTACAGAAACTTCAAGGGCTTCTCCATTGTTCTCATGGCCTTGGTCGATGAAGACTACAAGTTTCTTTGGATTAATGTCGGCTCTGATGGTTCCAGGAACGATGCCAGTATCTACAATGGGTCTGATCTGAAGGAATGCCTGGAAAGTCCGAACAACACATTTAATCTCCCTGAAGAGAAGTTTACCTGGTGATGGCGTTCCTGTCCCATACTACATAGAAGGGGAGAATGCTTTTGGGATCAACAAGTGCCTGATGTACCCGTTTTCTATCAGAAAAAAATGGAGCATCATGAGAAAATATTTAACTATATACTCTCCAGAGCCAGACGTCTAGTGGAGAATGCCTTTGATATTCTGGCACACAAGTTCCAAGTTTTACTGAGGACCATGAACCAGAGGCCAGATACATACAGAAAAATCATCACAACTCGTGCGATCCTTCACAATCTCTATCAGACTGAGATATCCAGCCACCGACAAAAACCTGATAGACTTGGAGGACTAGAACCAGAATGTCATCCCAAAGGCATGGAGAAATGACAAAGTACTTCTGGATGTCTACCGAGAGCAAGGAACACTTAGAACCCGGAATGGGAGGCAAATTAGAATAAACCTGGATCACTACTTTACCTCAAAGGCTTGTTCGGTGTCATGGCAGGACAGGATGATCCAGTAATTATTCCCACAGTGCAATGACAGTACAATCAATACATAGACACTAACATTGTGATGATGAACAAATCATTTTCACATATTGCGTTGTAACTTAAAGCAAAATGTGTATGGAGTAATAAATTTTGTTTCTGAAATTTTGAAAATTATTTTAATATAGAAATACTTGTAAAGTAAGGGAAAATAAGGTAATTGATAGTAAATTTCCCACGTATGGTTCGTGTGCCATCGTGTGATCTTCTGTAGGCATCGTACTTGCTTCGGCTTATGATTGGCTGTTAAACAAGTTCGGGACCATCCGTTCGTGGGAAATTCGAAATTCCATATTCGTATGGCCATCTGGTGTCAATTTCGGGACAGTGTGACGCCTGCATAAAGGAATACTTTCGCAGATAGTGTCGTATATCTTGTCGGAGGTTTTTGGATTGTCTTTCGGTTATCATTTTTTTTCAACTTCAAAATTGATATCTTACAGTTTTAAAATATTTTTCCCAGTATAGAAATAAATCTATAATTTCGATATCATGGAAATATACTTGTCTGTCCTGAAATAACGATATTGAAGGCCATATGTTCTTGTTTTTATAATAAGGATTAATATGATTTTGAAATTTATTCATATAATATTTCGTACATAAATGACAGTGCATCAATGATGCACTGTCATTTATGTACGAAATATTCATAAGCCTCTAAAGGCTGGTTGGTATAAATATACATGTGTATTGACTACATATATTTAAAATGGTAATATATTGTATTTCATGTACATGTACCAAGTTGTACTTTAAAATAAAAATATCTATCTATCTATAAGATAGTCCACATGTAATTTTCGGATAAGATTATGTAACGTTAATTCAATTTTATATACGATAACTTCAGCCAATTAAATTATAAAGAGAACAGAAAAAAAAAATAACAACTGATCTGGTATAAAATAAAAGTGATACATGCCAAATGTGCCTTGTCGCGTTCAAAACACTTGTTCGTACCAGGAACGGCGATGGCCAAAGCATTGGAAACCCAAACAAAACATGATGTTCTTCATTCGCTTTATTTATCCGCGTTATAACGATGAATGAATGAAAGGAGATGTTGGGTACATACTTCATGAAACAGAAACCCAATAATACAACAAAATAAGAAAAAGACATCTAATGGTCTTCAACTATAGACAAGGTTAGACGTGTCTGTATACAATGCAGGTGCGGATCCAGAATTTTGAAAAAAAGGGGGCCTTGGCAAGCCAACATTTGGAGTGATACTTGTAAAAAGTCTATGCATTTATCATATATGAAGCTTCATAAGGGGGCACTGGGCCCTCCCCTAAATCCTCTGCAATGTGTCATATCTGCAGCTAGGACAATAGGTAAACGTTTTCCTTTTGCTTTATGAAAGTGTTTAAAGAATAGTCTCGTTTTCATTACTGTTAGCCCTCGAACAGTCGGTCTTCGTAACTTGAATCGCTTATATAGTATAAGCCTTTAACATTAACCACACAATGCATATCTATTTTGATATATTTTAATAAATATAATAGGAGCCTGATGTTATATAATGACATCGTACATATAGAAAAAATGAACGAGTGATGAGCCAGACCAAACTATCACCGGGAATAAAAGTCAGAAAGCAATATAATGATCTGACAGAATAAAATAAAGTGAACAATGAAAATAAGGCACCATAGACACTGTCCAGTTTCTCTATTCCACTGAGAGAAAAAAAAACGATTTATGATATATTAAACATATCCAGAGCAACATGTGATGTACACTTAAGGTTGCAGAGATTTTTAGTATTATGTCAATCAAAAGATGTAGTTCCATTGAAATGTTTCCTTTATTTGGTTCAATATAGATTGATTCTGGAGGACTGAACAAGAAAAATACATTCAAGTAATCTTTTAAAAATCGGCGAAGGAAACACTTTTAAAAGGTGATACATTGTCCAATAACAGAAGGCTTTTACATCTACACATCAACATTTGACAATGGCCTTGCCAGTATTTGATCCTTTGAAAAGTCCTCTGAATGCTGTATACATATTCTCAAATCCCTCTGTTACTGTTTCTTTGTATGTTATTTTACCCTGAAACAAATAAAAAGTTATATATTACACGATTACGTTTTGACCTCGAATATACCGTTTGGAGTGTAATGCAAGTGCTATGAATAACAAAACTTCGAATCTGTTTTGCCTCACCTCATGGGGCCAGGCTATGTAAAAAATATAGATTCTGTTTTTATCACTTTTAACAAGAAATCTGCATGGATGGATTAATGCAAGCTGCATGATATATATATCTTATCTTCTTGATGTGATTTTCTTTTGCTTGGTGATTCATCTTCGTTTTTCAAAGGTAAAATATTTAAAATTCAAAATCTAAAAAGAATTTTCTTCTGTAAAAAATCAATCTAAGGTTTATTAGTTTTTGTTTGTTAGGTTACATTTTTGTGATGCCAGGTTAATACATGAGTCATGTGGTTTAATTCAGTGATACATCTATAATAATCTATTTTGTAAAATTTGTAGTTTCAAATTCACAAAAGAGAACTTGATACAATAGTGCACACTACATTTGCGCAGATTAGGGGATTTTTTTTTTATAATTGCACGAAATGAGTCCTTTAATCTGTTCTTTATTTGTTTGTACCATTTTTCCCTATTCTTTATTGAGTTTGTCCATTATTCATTGTTCTTTATATTTTACTGTGACAACCCCTTAAATCTCAATTCTTTATGTTTCAACACCCAATTTTAAATCTCTGTCATTTGTATTTTAACACCCCCTATAATCTCTTTTCTTTATATTTTAACACCACATTAATATCTATTTTTTTTTGTATATTTCAACCCTCCATTACAATATTTATCTTTATTTTTTTGCCTATTTTTCACGACCCCCCCCCCCCCCCCCCCATTAATATTCGCTATTCTGAAAACTCCATCCAGACTTTGAACGATTCTTCATACTGAGGTCATTAATCCTTTGTAAAATTTGAAGATTAACTACATGATGTTTGCATTTCATTTCCATTCATGTTTCTGCGCATCCATGCATTTTTAAGTTCCTAGGCATTTGAAATTACAAATAACCAAACATATATTTGGGCTTGAAATATTCAGCCTGTACGGACATGTAAAACCAGTTCTCATGTGATTTGCTACGTTTTCTTCATATGATTATTTTTTTTTAGTTGATGAATTTGACTATTTAGTTAAGGTTTATTTATTTGTACTTTCGCTGCTTACGTTACAGCGTATTTACGCATCACTGGCTTTCAAATGTTTAGGTTTGAGCATACCTGATGAAGTTATGCTACGACGAGGGTGGTTTTTAACGACCTTGACTACCCATGAGGGTCTTGCATGGTCGGGGAAGGTATACTAAAACCTCTTCGGACGAACATTTATAAGTATTTAGTTCATTTACCTCTCTGATCCATTGTGACATTTGTTTCTCTCCTTCTGCCCATCTGTTATACCATCTCGTGACAATAAATCCCTGAACTAGGAGCTGCTTAAACAATATCATCGGAAATTGAAGCTCGGCTATGGATACAAAATTTAAAAGAAAACTGTCATCGTATTTCATTTCACAAGATCTGACTTTCTATTCAAAATAATTTCTTGGAAGTGTCAAACAAGTCCTTAGGATATGTTTCTTTTTATTGCAAATATTTTGTTCGAAAACTTTTGTTTTAATAATTTAAGTGAATGAAAATGTGAAGTTGTAACTTAAAGCAAAAATGTTTTATGACATTTAATTGAAATCGAGCAAGAAAGATCCTTACGAACGTTCAGTTTCTATTTTCATTATAGTTCAATTTAGATATTGTAGAAAAGAATATTATCAATTATGAAGTTATGATGCTCTATTGTGTACTTCTTTCTTTATATTTGATAATTCAATATACACACTACATACTGTTTCCGAATTTGGATAATGTCGGAATTCTCGACGCATTAAATGAGCTTGATTTGTCAGTTCAGGGCCTTTTATAGCTGACTATGCGGTGTGGGTTTTGCTCATTGTTGAAGGTCGTACGGAGACCGTCCCGATGGAGAGTTGTCTTACTGGCAATCATACCACTTTTTTTTTATCTTTTTATTCAGATAATTTAGAAATAAAGATGTACGCAGGTCGTTCCGATGTATTTCAAAATTTTCCATCTGTGGCCTTCGTTTGAGCAGATAATATTATGGGAATATGTGTGAATGATACGTTAAAGAAATTTCCAATATTCTTAGTGTAAATTGAAAACATTAATAACAATAAATGTCAATATGCAGGCACACTGTGGTTTGTGATATCCGTTGACAGGAACCCAAACCCCAGATCATTATTTTTTTCTTTTGAAATGCTTAACAAAACTGCTAAATTTAGGCATGTTGTCTGTTAAGTTCAGTGATATAATCTAGATGAAAATCAGGTTTACTTAGCCTTAGATGTATATTATATCAAGAGTATTTGTAGATTGATATACTTGTGGTAATGTTACCTTTTAATTTATCAGTAGCGTTGTACTGCGAAATTTGTCCACAAATTGACATCCGACCGAAAGTTTTCATATTTTTAAGAACACTTAGTGTAAATTCTCCTCCGACCTAAATAAGATGTAAAAAATAAAGAATGACACATTGTGTATACTTTTCACGACCAATACCTCATCCCTGCAACTCATACATGATCAAGAGCTCACATATGCGACACACAAATGATAAATCATTGTCCATGTGCTTGTACACATAAATTATTTATTTTGCTATTAAAGGTATAATTCACTAAAATCTCTTGTGAATATTGTAATCTACTATCTTCTATATAAATATTATTTAATCAGGTTCGAAAGTAAGATATTTTTCTAAAGTCTCATGATTCACTACACTACATGTAAAAGAACATAGAAAGTATTTTCCCCGACACTGACTAAAATGTGCTTGAGTGTATACAGGAATGTTTGTTATCTTTAAAGGTAGTACATGTAACTCTAGATCAGTTAAGTCACCGGTAGTTTGTCCATCTATATTATATTGTAAAGCTATACATATTGTTCCTGTAGAAATTATTCTGCTGAGAAAGACTTGATTTTGTTTAATTGTTAATAATCAATGTTATCAATATGTAATCACTTGTATGAAATTGAACTTAATTGTACTGCTCAAATTATTGGGCGTATTAGACAACTTTCGAGTTCGAGGCATTTCCGTCAAAAACTCTGGTTTTAGTGAACATCATTCGTGCGTTTAGGGGCATCGTCACTTCCGTTCCAATGTTGAGCAAGTGGTTGGAAAACTATAATGCTATATTGCACGAATTATTCGGCAAATTAAATTCTCATAATTGACAATCAGCACTACTGTCATTAGGGAATTGTGATTAAGTACTTACAAAACAAACATTATTTCTAGTTTATCCTGCACAATGACGATCACTAAGACGCTTGATGAACGTTAATAGTGCAGGGATACAGGCGATCCATGGCCTCTATCTGGTAAATGACGTCATAAAGGCGCGCATAATTGACGAGTTTTTTCCGGTGAAGGATGAACTCGAAAGTGGTCTATTGACAATAAAAAATTTTGTATTTGTATTTGTATTTGTAAATAGGTTTCCACGTTTAATGATAAATGATACTTCATATCTACATACAATGTTCCCTTTTTTAACGAATATATATTTAAAAAATGGTATTTGTTTTATGTTTTTAGTGTCGGATCTTTATTATTTTTCTTTTTTCTAGTTTGTTAGTTATTTCCCACTAAAACTTATCTTACATTATCAAAGTAACAGTCTACACCGTCTGGTGCGGCTTCCTTCAGCGCATCGTTAATTGTAACCTTCTTATAGTTATAAACACAATCAAATCCTAAACCCTTTATCCATTTACATTTCTCTTCGTCTCCTGCAAATCCTATAACTTTACAACCCTGTAAATAAAATCACTAAAAAATCAACAAATAAATTGGGACGTCATGACAGAATATATTTATAAAAAAAAACACTTGGAGAGACAATGTAACTTCATTTTAATTAAAAGACTGGCATTGGTTCTTAGCCGTTGATCAATATGTCATCTGGCCTTTTGAGATTGGAGACAAGACAGAAAACTCTACAATAACGTAATCTTGAGATACCATATAGTAATAATTACATTAGATGTATGTTTCATTATAATACGTTATTCTGATTGGCTAACTGCAATCTCGCGTTATTCCTTAATCAACTTCATTACACAATGAAATTTATCATTCATGATGACACGAGGTCTCACAATAAAGTGCACAAGTAAATTAAATAAAAACTTGATAAAAATCGTGTTTTCATGATCCTAGCTTATAAAATGTAATTATTATTATTGAATGCTTCTTTTTGTAACTTCATAGGGTTGTAAAAGCGTTGACCGTGCGCACATTTTTAGAATGAAGCGCTTCCGCGCTTCATACAAAATGTACTTCGGTCAACGCTTTTACACCCCAATGAAGTTACAAAAAGAAGCATTCAATTCTTAAATGAAAATACAATCACTGTACGTACATGCTCTCTGTAATTTTAAATGTTGTTAAGTGTTTATTGGCAAAGGGGAAGGTTGAACCCAATCGCATTAATTGTGTGTCTGTATCAAGTTGGTTTATCTAGACCGGGTGGTGTTAGTTGTTGTGTGTGCGTCTGTTTTGTCGGGAGTTGTGTGTTGATGTTTATTATGTTTGGGTGGTCTGTTGTACTGTCCAATATTTTTGGTGATTCCTGTTTTCCTTATAATGTATTATATTACACTCTTATATCACTCATAGAACAGCAATGCCCTGGAGAAAGCTAATCTTACAGAGCAGAGAAACACGATGTTGCACATTGCTTAAAGTAATTAGGTGTACAAGATTTTAATCCATAAAAGAAAAAGAAAAAAACATTTTAATCGTGTTTCAAACTGAAAATAAGTGTGCAAACAATCTGAAAGTGAAATAAAATCCTTTACTTTCATAAAGTTAACATTATAGTATTCATTCTCCTATTTAAAAAAGCCGGCGTTGATCTGAAACAGCTTTTCATTTACTTAGCAATTTATCTGTAATTTATCCGGCAAAATATACAACTAAACGATTGGTACTATTTCAAATTGACTTTACCTTTATTTTAGCAATTTGTCCTACCAAACTGCCTACAGCACCAGCTGCCCCACTGACAACAACTACTTCACCTTCTTTAGGTTTGCATATCTCCAGGAAACCGAAAAAAGATGTCATTCTGTGAAAACATGTTTTTATATATTTTATAATGTTTTTGCTACCAAAAGTTTTGGTCGCGATAGTATCTGACGGAGATTAAAACAGAAGTCAGGCGCCTTGCGGATTGATATAGGTATTATAAGTATTTATTATTTTAAGTATACAGCAAGCATTTCAGCCAGTAGTCAAAATTGCCGTTTCGTTATATTAAACATTGTCTGAAGTGCAATCAGAATAAAATATACAGTAATGCAAGGAGTTTTTAAATGCAATGAAATGTTCATTGTTTCAAAGTAGTTAAACATGCATGTTACAGGTTTATTCTATTTTCAAATGCCAGATTTAGAATTACAATGTACTAAATGTTAATCACTCTATAAAATGTTGCTCAGAAACTGTCAAAACTCTCATTCATGTACGATACAACAGTATGATGATATTCATGGCAATGTGGGCTTTTTAACTACAAAATCATTCAATTTGTATAAACATCAAAGTACCATTATTTCATTGACATTCGATTAGCCTAGTACATAGTGTTTTGATCAGGAATTGCATTATTCTTATGTTTTAATATATTTGAAAATCCAAGTTGACAAAAAAATGTTACCTTTGTTAAATTGTAATATTATCTACACTTGTGTTCCTAGGTTGTGACGTCCATTTTACTGAACTAGTACACAATTTTATTTAGGGGCCAGCTGAGTACCACCTCCGGGTGCGTTGAAGACCCATTGGTGGCCTTCGGCTGTTGTCTGCACTTTTGTCGGGTTCTTGTCTCTTTGACATATTCCCGATTTCCATTCTCAATTTTCTTTAACGTCCTTTTTGCTGTTATTTTAGGTTTAAAAGCCTTCATTGTTTGATAGTTTGGAAGACCATTGACGAGAACTGATACATGCAGTTTCTGTAATTTGTATTAAATTATACAATTTTATTTGCAGTTTTCAAACCAGAAATCTGGTGTATGCCCTTATTAAAAATCTAACATACTTAAAGTAATCGTACGCTACTGAATAAATATACAAAAAATAATTTCTAAGATCTTACCCAGGCATACCCATAACACCAAGAGCTGTGGACAATGACAGATCACCAAGTTCCGGCATTCTACGACAAGCTTCTGATGTAACAATTGTACGATTTCTCCATCCTGAGTGAGTTCTAACTATTGTTCCAACTGGGTAGTCTTTGTTTTTACTGTCAATCACTCTTTAAATATTGTCAAATGAGTATTTTAGGAATTAGATAATAAATAAAATTCAGAATTGTTCATTCTTTAATTAAGATGTTTTAATGATCTTGAAATAAGTAAACGTTACCAAGTATTTATTGTACATGTAAACAGTAATGTATATAACGTCTTGATTTAGATATAAGAAGATGTGGTATGAGTGCCAATGAGACAACTCTCCATCCAAGTAACAATTTATAAAAGTAAACCATTATAGGTCAAGGTACGGCCTTCAACACGGAGCCTTGGCTCACACCGAACAGCAAGCTATAAAGGGCCCCACAAATTACTAGTTTAAAACTATTCAAACGGGAAAACCAACGGTCTAATCTATATAAAGACGAGAAACAAGAAACACGTATGGACTACATAAACAGACGACAACTACTGTGCATCAGATTCCTGACTTAGGACAGGTGCAAACATTTGCAGCGGGATTAAACGTTTTAATTGTACCAAACCTTCTCCCTTTTCTGAAACAATAGTATAACATTAGTTCGTATTTATCCGGAGACAAATGGTGTAGATGTTTTTTGAATATATATTATGGAATTTTATGTGGCAATTGTACGTATAATATACTTCCTGATATTTTCAATTTTCTTCATCCAGCAAAAGATTTTCAGGTATATGCGTTTTCTGAATCATTTTTTCAGACATTTAATTGTAAAGTTGTCATCACATATGATTAATTTCAAACATTCAAAATACTAGTACATACATCTTTATAACATAGTTGATAATGTATAATGTATAATGATTTATAGGTTTTCATTGGCGATTTGCGTCTGTATATTGCCAGTAAGGAAAAATGCAACACGAGTCGACTAAGATTCTAATCATGAAATGTAATACTCTTACTATCATTGTGGCAATGTTTGCTTCCAATTGGTTGGATAAAAATAAATCGGTAAGAAGGTACCAAGGGCCAATACTAAAAACCACAAGTCGAAGAAAGACAGATAACACCATGGCCAAATGAAAAAAAGACAGACAAACACAAAACTCTACACACAATTCTAAAAATTGAGCAACAAGTCCCCCCTTTTCAATCAAGAGTACACAAAACACTAAAGACCCTCCCCCCAAAAAAAAACCAACAACAAACAAAAAATAAAAAAAATAATTGGGGATTGAACTCAGGTGCTCCAAAAGGGTAAACAGAAGATCGGACATTCGAGGGATGTAATGTAATGGCAACAGCTTACACTGGCCCTTTGATTACTCATTTGTAAATCACCGAAAATCTTTGTGACGGATATATGTATAAAATCTTCGTATTGACAGGACATTACTGTTTTTTTTTAATCTGACTAACTCTATATTTACTTACTTTGATATTTGTTCACCCATCATTGTATCTCCTACTTTTCCGTTCGTTTCTAACATTACTCTTAAATCAGAAATCATATTTTTACTCTTCAGTAGAAAATATATATACATAGTGAAGTTTTCAAAACAGTACACAAAAAATAACTATTAGCGTTTATTTTGACAAAAAGTCTCGATAACACTAAAGAGATACGTAATATGCCATATTAAAGCTGGTAGATTTTGGGTAACATATCATATGATTGGTATGCCAATGGGGCCTAACGTGACGTGACGAGACACAAAGAAACACAACTTTGATTTTTTTTCTTTAGTATGTCTTCTTTTTTAATGCACTTGTCAAAAATTATCCTGTGACGTTACAGAATAAAATAGTAATTTGAATAAAACCGCCTCTATTAATTAACGGAGTGGCTATTTGTCCGGCCATTTCCATGCGCATGTCACTTTATCACCATGTACGTGCGTGCGTGCGCGGAATATTATCTTCAGCAGCACAAGGGGCCGTGTGTTATCCGATCACTGATGTTGTGATCATGGCTGAAAACTGCGGTATCAACTGATGTTCATCGTGATAAATTTTTTTCATACGCGAATTCGATAGTATGAACTCAAATAAAGATCAAATTTTATAAAATGGATTCAAGAACAATTGAAATCGCAAATCATGATACTCTTACATTTAAATTATTTAATTATGTATTGAAATATCGAAAGCATTGATTTTTGTACAAATACAATAATTTTGCTTCAGCATGTATAAGTTTAGAAAAATTGTATATTAAAAATATTTAAAATAAATTAAATAAATCAAACACCTAGTATAGGGTTCCTAGACCTTCGTGACATTCGTGATCAAATTTCAAATGAATGACTTCGCAGTTTTATTCTTTTTACATTTCCGCTTCATACATGTACCGGTTAACTATCTCATATTTTCTGACTTCCAATTAATGCATTATGCATGGAAAACTAAAAACTGAAAAGCAAATATTTTTATCAGTCGTTTTTAGAAGTTACGGTTTCAACGATATATCAACATATATGTTTTAAGAGATATAGGGTGCGCTGCAAGTTTCCTTCAACAATACTTTTACATAAAAGTAATATTTGGGATAATTATGCCAAGATCTGTTACATGTATGTGTATAGAAAATTTTGGACATACATCATTACACTTGCTATTATTACGGGTTTATCCAGACAAATAGACGCATTAATATTCAACTGGATAACTTGAAAAATAGTCCCACCACTGAAAATTTGGCTAGCCGGACAAATAGTCACAGTGCTATTCATCCGACTAGCTGGACAAATAGTCACAGCACTATTCTTCCGGCTAGCCGGACAAATAGCAAATGCCTTGTTCGAATTAAAAGCAGTTAAAGCGATTTTCATGATACAAAAAGAAAGTACCTCATATATGGATCAACAGTCAGATATACAGCCTCGATCAACATCTCTGAAATAAAATATGAGATGTCATCAGATATATAATTTGCATTATGACAATTTATTCATTTTTGGCCGGTTTGTATATACGAAGCGTAAAACCAGCTTAAAGTTTGGCGATGTTGGTCGGGCGGGCGGGTAGTGGTTTCCGTTGGTTGGGTTATCTTTTTTTTATGTAATCGAATCATCCTGCAGATTAACAAAGATCTGCAATCTCCCTGAAAGATTGCGAATATATTTCAGTTGTGAATTATGCTATAACGGAATTGTTTGGGAATTTTTTTTACCTATTTCACCGGGTTTGCGAACTTATTCATTTTCAGCAAAGTTTACGAAAGATGTATGCGGTTGTGGGTGATTTTTGGCAATTTGCGGTGGTGTCCAATATCTCTATCTATATCAGCTATAGTAAGTGTAAGCTGTGTTAGGGGCCGTGAATATTTGTCAAGCAGGTGGGACCGGTGCAAACCACAGTTGGACAAACACATTTTTCTTCCACTTCAGGCATAGGGTCTTCACATTTTTTACCTTGTGACCATAGGACATGAAGATTTATTGCTATCAAATAAAAAAAAATATTAACTAAAATATAAATCCAAACAAGAAACATTTGTACTATCAAAAAATAGTTTATATCATAACAAAAAAACAATGTAAACTTATATTTATTTGTTATATTTCAAAGTATAGTTTGTTTGTTAAAATATATTATATTAAAAATATAAGTTGCTAAACTTTTTTCTCTCAGTATACATATGATTTATATTAGGAAACCTACTTAAATGATATTTACTATTATATTAATTGTTTGATTGGCAAATCATATTAATGTTCACGTATGCCATATCGGCTGTATATTTTTGGCTTAAATCATCATTTTTAATATATTATCATGAAAATACATGATATTTTCATATTCATTTGAATTAACTCATTTTTAACAATTTGCAGACAAAATATACATGGACATTAAAAAATAGCAAGTTATAATCATCAAATGAACCAGGGACTTTCTATACTAATTATATAGTATAGAAAGTCCCTGAATGAACAAATCAAATGAAAAAACCTCTTTCAAGGTAAGTAGACATAGTTGAACAACATATATACATATAATTAATCAGAAATAATTTTCATTCCCTATAAACCTCTTTCAAGGTAAATAGACATAGTTGAACAACATATACATATAATTTATCAGAATTCATTTTCATACCCTATTAAACTATCCACTTTATTATTTAATAAATGTAAGAACCATTCTTGCATGTTTTACATGTATATAGCTTCATAATTAACAAATGATATCAAACAATCATGACAATAAATTTCAACAAAAAGAGGCAAATATAATTGCAGGACATACAAAATTCAAACTCTTCTATTCTTCAAATTTAGGATGTGTAAAAGAGTATATTTCTTTAAAGGGAGCTAAGTACATGTTTTCTTCAATTTGTATTTTTGCAAGTTTAACATCACATCTACAATAGAAATACTTTTATTTTTTTGAAGGTCTACATTAAAATAATTATATTAGGATCAAATTTTTTATTTGAAATAGAAGAATAGAAAATAGTAAGTCATAAAAGTCATTTGACAAAATTAAAGCAGATTCTAGATTTATTTTCTTACGATTTGAAGCCCAAATAATGCCAATGCTAAATATAAGGTAAACGTCCAAGAAAACTTTTCTCCCCATTTTTTAAACCTCATATATCTCGAAAAGGACTTCTATATCCTATCAACATTTTTCGGAAGCTTATCTGTTTCTTATAAACTTATATTATTTAAAGTATCAATTTTATATTCCAGATTTTTCAAATTTTACTTAAGTACAATCTTAAATGTCTTTTTTATTGTGTTATTGATCATGTACATGTATACTTAAACAACAATATTCATAAATCAGTTTTCATTTATTACTTCATCACTAAGGACATCCTATCATTTAGTGTCACATTAATTCAGATAAAGTTAATGAGACACATATTTTTTTTCTGCATGCAAGTCATAGGACATTGAGTTTTTACATCCCAAATCAGTATAGGACATTCACTTTTTTTGTCATAACCAGAATTTGCACCGGTCACACCTGCCTGATAAATATTGCACGGTCCCTTATGTTAAGGAATTTTTCAGATTTTAAGCAGACATTAATAACAAAAAAAATCATTTTTCCAGTTATACTCAAGTGACGATTTTAATGTTGGGGAAGCGTACCATTTATAGTAGTAGACGAAGCAACGAACCTAATTGAAGAAACGGTGTCTAGAAATGTGACAAAAAATGTGACCAAAAGAGAGAAAAAACATTTATCGTCAAAAAGTTGCATATATTTTTAAATCTCTACAAAAACGTAAAAAAAATATCTAGTTTTGTTCATTGTTTTTTTTTTTTATAGTTTGCCTACATTTAGTATTAAAAGGAAGCTGTACACTGCTAACCTGAAAGGCAACTGATAAATAATGAATTCGTTGATAATTTGACCGTGTGACATTAGTTTTACATATACCGGTATAGTGAGAACTGAATGGAATTCTATATATATTTACATACCTCCGTCTTTCAACCCGGGTAAGTCTTCTTCCACCAACTGTAAATCTTCGTCTTTGGGCACTCCATCAAATAGCTTTGCAATTTTCCACGATTTTGCGATAACCATTTTCTTTTTCTTTTTTATATGTAAAAGCTCAACCAAAAAAATCTTTTGCAACTGATCTTGTTCTAAAATTTAACCCTATATATATATTATCATTGTTTACATTAGATATGGTTTGACCTCTTGGGTACTTGATTTATAATCAATACATACTCTAGTGTATATTTTTAAACAACAAGACTTAAGTTAGTATAAATGTCCTAAATTATGCATGTGCTTTCTTATCGACCAGCGGCAAATAATTCATGCATATCCAGGACAATAACAAATCAACAATAAATCCACATGCCACTGGACAAAGAGGGTCCATTAGGTATACATGTATTTGCCTTGCAATGGTAGCACTCCACAGTTAAAAAATAAAATTAAAATTGAACCACAAAATGTTTAATCATCTTCTATTCCTGGCTTTCTAATACATTAAGTCAACTGTTTGTGTCATACATGTGCATATGTATGTAATCAGTATCGTCCATAGATTTATTTTCAAAAGTTAAAATGGTGAAAAATAATTCCTTTGTTGTGTATCCATGGCAACATTCTGCATTTATTTATCATAAAATATTGCAAAAAAGAGGCATGAAAATGTTTCATATTCCCCCAAAATTTGGTTTAAACTAGAATTTCAATGCCTATGAATGATACCTTTTCTGAAACTTTTGACATAAATCTACCAAATGATCAAATAAAAATTGGGTGTCTTTCAACTCATTTTTTCTTCAAATTTAATCCCAAAGTTTGTGCGACAAATCGTTAGAAAAAAAACAATGCAATAATTGCCGGACCGATGTCTGGTATGGATATGAAAATACGGGCTGTCATACAGAAAACAGTCCCTAATACATACTTTACACAATCTAGATGTTCCTATAAACCCACTATGAAGGCTATATTAATCTTCAGCTATCCAAAAATGAATTTTATTGCACACTAGCTCTCATATTAGAAAAATCCACAGGGGCCAAAATGCGAAACTACACACCTAACTGTGGAGTGCTACCAAAAGACTACCTACGGACGACTTAAAACATTGATGCATGGAGAGACCGTGTCATTTACCCCACTCGAGGCAAAAAAAAAAAATGAAATTTTGCATGCCAAAATTTTTTCAAAAATTAAAATTTTACCAAAATTTAAATAATTTAAAAAAATAGCAAAATTTAAAAAAAAGAATAAAATGTTTACCAAAAAATAAAACAATATTTTTTTTTCACACATTTAAAAAAGACAAAAAACATCTCTAGAGTTCAGCAAAAAATAAATGTTTCGAAAATTTATAAACAAAAACAAAAATAAAAAAAGGAGATAATTGACAATACGCAGCAACATTGATGTTGAAAAAATGAGAAGTGAATGCTATTCATATGAATTTTTCGCCGGCTGTGCCTCATGGTGTACGAATTTTCAACACCGGTTTTAATTCTGTACACCGGTAAAACATGATAAGATGACAAAATAAATTGACCAAAGGAAAGGCAATAATTAAATTGCAGTGGAAGCTTTACATGTTTTGAAAACATTTTTTTAATTTCACAGTAAAACTAAAGCTATAATAAATTTGAAACATAAAGATGGTTTGTCCCCATAGATATAGTCTAGCAGATAGGCATTAAAAAGCAACTACTAATAGATCAGAGATTATAGGTTTTGTGTTTTGTGGTTTTTTTTATTAGTTCAAAGTAAAAACTAAAAGATTTATCAGAATATGTTTATATATATATATATAGGTGGCACATTATCTTCAGACATAATCACAGTTTTTCAATTCATGACATCGTCCTAAACATGCATGAACTATTTGCCACTGGACATTAAGCAACCAATAATCAATAAATCAATCAATTCATGACGAAATAGATCACCTTCCTTAAGAAAGTTTAAAAAATTATCACCAAGTTGCTTTAATTTTCCTTCACAAGGTTTCATAGTACACACTTTTCTGTGTACAAAGTAATTGCATGGATGATACATTATCATAATTTTAAGATATCGTTGTACTCTAATCAAGGTATAAAGAACCATATGTATTACCCTTTATTTAAATGATAAAATTTGCAATTGTCAAAAACATTTTTTAGATCCAAAGATTTTAATAGCAGGATATTTAAAAATCAACGTGAAAACTAATTACAAACTATTTAATTTAATTTGGAACACAGCATTTTATTTCAAAATAGCCAGTGGCAATTTTTGTTTTAAATATCTTGATTACGATACAATGAAATCTTACCCTTGTGGTCATTCATGCGTAGTTACTTAGTACACAGGAAAAGTATGTACTATGAAAATTAGAAGGCAAATATAAGCAATTTGATTGGACGAGAAGTTGTAAGTATGTGCTAAAATAATAAGAAATTAGAATTTAATCGAGGGAAGCCAGTTGTTGTTTTAGATGGCCATAAATTTCGTCAGGCTTTTATTAAAAAAAGTGGAGAAATAGGATGGCGATGTACTACCAAAAACTGCAGTGCTACAGCTTATACCGACGAGCAATGTATAGCTGTTTTGAGTGGAAATCTTGCACATATACATGAGCCAGACCCACAAAAGTTAGAGCGTCAAATACTACGCACGGCATGCAAAAGAAAAGCTACAGAAAATATATCCGAAAGACCAGCAAAGATCATATGTTCGAAGCTATTTCATCATGAAGAGGAACATCTGCAGAAAAAATGACTTAAAGTGCATTAGACAGTCCATGTACAGAGAGAGAAGAAAACTGTACCCTGCCCAACCAAAAAGTTCAGTAGAATTTCAAGAAATTTTAAGTGAAATAGGAGTAATCACAAATAAGGAAGAAGAGTTTGTTTTAGTAAATGATATTGGAAGTGGCATTGTTATTCTCGGTTGTGAAGCTAACTTGGAATTTCTGTGTATGCAGGCAGAAGATGTTTTTGCTGATGGAATATTTAAGTGTTGTCCGAAGTATTTCCAGCAATTATATACAATACATGGATTCAAGAATGGACATTACATTCCACTTTTATATTGCCTTTTGCCTTCCAAATCAGGAGACTGTTATAGAAAAATGTTTTCTTTGCTTAAGGAATGTTGTGAAAGGTTTAATCTTCAAATGAATTTTGCATCTATGCATGTAGATTTTGAGGAGAGAATGCACGTTGTCGTTCAAGAGTTTTTCCCAGGAATTATCATCAAGGCATGTCGTTTTCATCTTGGCCAAGCATGGTGGCGTAAAATACAAAATCTTGGACTAGCAAAAGAGTATAAAAAAGTTGGCAGTGACAGTAGCAAGTGGTTACACCATTTTTTTTGGATTAGCCTTTCTGAACCCAGATGAAGTAGGTGATTGCTTTGCTGAAGATTTGATACAGGATATGCCAAAAGACAAGAAAATAGAAGCGTTTGCTGATTATGTTTTAGCCACATATGTTGATGACAGTGCTTTGTTCCCACCATCCATATGGGCCGAAACCCCATCTACCGCAAGACGTACTAATAATGGAGCAGAGGCATTCCACAAGAATTATAATGAACTCTTTTATTCATCCCATCCTTCCATGTTTGTGTTTTTGGACAATATAGTAAAGTGTCAAGCTACAACATACATTAAATTTTGAAGTGCGCATGCACCAGCAGTTAGAACTAGACATGTATCAGAAAAGGAAACTTTTGCCGTTCAAAAGTACATGAAATATCCAAGCCCGGATAAAGGAGGAGGGGAGTCATTTTTCTTTTAATTGGCGCAATCGTATATTTTATTTAGGGACGCATTTTTGGCGCAAACGGATCTCTCCCAACGATTTTGTGTCGGAACAAACTTTTGGTTTTACTCCAGTGTAAAGTGCTTTCTTTTAGGATTTATGATCACGTTAATTTAAAACAGAACTGTGTTTTAACATTATTATGAAAAGTCTCTTTTTAAGAACGTATCAGTGTATGGTGCTTTTATTATGGTTATGATGACTGATTTCTGATGAATATATTTTATTATGCAATAAAAAAAAATGTGTTTTAAAATTATTATTAAAAGTCTCTTTTGAATAAAACTGTAACGTGTACACAGGGTAAGCGTGTCTATTTTAGAATGAGTCCGTTACCAGTTTGATACTGGATCCAAAATGTTCTATTTACAAAATATATAATAAGTAAACTTTATTCATAAATTGACATCAATGAACTAAAATAAGTACAACTGCTCTTTGCGTTCTCTAATGAACTATCTATAACTATTCTACTTAAGATATATACAACTGTTACAAATTTGCACTATTACAAATTTGTCCTGGGTCAAGAACAAACTTGTCCTCCTGGTACAATTATGTACCCTACAAGTTTACACACTTGTCCTTGTCCTCTTTGTACAATTATGTACCCTACAAGTTATCACACTTGTCCAATACGGTACAATACGGTTCAGCTCGTAAACTCCAACTTGTACAAGTCCGTATTTCTAACAGGCACTAACCTGTTCTTTATTGCCTTTAAGTAATAGTAACTATTATATAAGAGATAATGATCTCGAATATCAACGTACCGTACCTTGGTCTTATGTCTCCGTAGACTTATGACAAACGACCTTCAGCAAGGTATCGCTCTTGCTTATATACCACAATGGTAGCCGTACCATTATTGAAGGAGGGGTGTTCTACCAAAGTGCCTCATTACTCGTATTAAGAGCTTCCTTTGGGACACCCCTTCACATTTGACCTGACCCAAGGTTTACCCGCGAAACATCTTATTCTTTTCTATGTTTATTAAAGCATATATACAAATACATAAAATAAGGCTTCTACCGAACTGTAACTAAGGTAAACGATCTAACCTAAGATACAAAATCATCACAAAACTAATTTTTATACTATTTACCTGTATTTACCTGTATTATTGGCGCAAATAAAATGTTTTATTTTGGCGGAAATAAAATATGGTTTGTGGCGCAAATGAAAGATTTTTTTGGCGCAAATGAATGATTTTTTTGGGCGCAAATGAAATGCCAATTTGCGCAAAAGCAAAGCACCGATCCTTGTTTGCCCACATTTGATTGCAGGTTTATAAAAACATAAGGTTTTTGTTGTTTTAACAATGATATAAAAATAAGAAGATGTGGTATAATTGCCAATGAGACACCTCTCAATGCACAAGAGACCAAATGACATAGACGTTAACAACTATAGGTCACCGTACGGCCTTCAACAATGAGCAAAACCCACACTGCATAGTCAGCTATAAAAGGCCCTGAAATGA